ATGCCTTTCCCAGCCCTGAATTACCGGTCCGGTACCTGAGAACAGGGGTTTCATTCCTGTATCATTCTGAGGAGAGATCAGTTACCAAATCTCATTATTCTTAACGATTTATGGAGGCTTTAAACCTGACGTTTAAGAGCTGAATGATAGCATACAATGTCGTGATGACAAACTAAGTCTGCAATTCTGAGATGACTTGAACAAGCCATGTGCTTTGTATCCGTGGAAGTTCGTTTTACAAATGCGGGTAGCTATAACTGTTAAGGGTGTTGACAACATCGCAATCATCTGCGGAGGAGTCGAACCGCCTCGAGGAATTTCAACCGTTTCCCGAACCGCGCCCCGTGAATCCAAAGCCAGCGATCCTGTCTTTGCTCATCCCGCCCGATGATTGGCTCCTTGATATCGACGCGCTTCGGTGGGTGGTTTCTTGGCTCGGCTCTGCGTCGCACGATCGCATCCGCCTCGTCATGCTCGCATCTTATCCCAACCCTTCCCACCCACTCCGTCGCCTCGCTGTGAGTTTCTTCCTGCCACCACCACCACCTCTTGTATTGGCCTGCCTCGCACTTATTTCACTCATCTCAGCAGGGTGAAATGAGGGCGAGACGTCCTGCGCGTGTGAGACATCCTCCTCACGACCACTAATGACTTCTCCCATTCCACGACAGCAGAGTGACGTCTGGACTTCTGTACTGTTTATGAAGGGGGCTTGTTTCTGAACTCGAGTCGAAATTATTGCCAGCTACAGCTCGAGAACAAGACCTTTTCCTCTACTGTAAGGCGTGAAAGATTTGGACATTCTCGCTGACCTTTCGGTCCCGTCGGAGTGAAAACCTAGCCCTGCGGCTGGGGGCTTTCACTGTGCGGGTGGGTGGGGAAAAGAAGAGGGGGGGGGGGGGGGTTGGTTGGACGGAGGGGTGAGGTGATGGAGGGTCCGGGGAAGAAGGGGGAGACACGCCGTCGCTGGGCTGCGCATCGTGCGGTGACCGCCCAAGCCCTGATGCTGCATGACCGATGCATACCCCTGCATAGCTCCCACTGGCTGCTGCTGTTGTAGCCTTTGCTGACTGACGCCTGGAGAGAGTTAATAGTCCGTCAATTAGAGTCCGTCAAGAAGAGTCCGTCAGTGTCCTTTGGCATGCCTCCTTCCCTGCTAGTTGAGCCTCTTTTCCGTCGCTCCCCTCGTCGCTCCTCTCGTCGCCTTCACCTCCAACTTCCCAACCTCCCGACCAACAGCCTTCGTTTGTCGCCTCTTGCTGTAGATCCTCTCTCCCTATTAATTGCAACGGCAACGAATCGGCTGAACTGTAACAACGGGTCGCGCAGCAATTTGGACTGCTCAAAATCTTGTTCTCGTCGCAATTCCTTAAGAAATCTAAGCAGAGGTGTATATCGCCATGAATAGTACACTGTACGACGAGCCATTTGTGTGTGTATATGCCGGACATGGTTCCGGCGGTTACTACAGAACGACCACTCCTGCTTCTGCTCGAGCTAGTAGGCAAACTCACATGCAGCCGCAACCGCCTAGACCGCCCAGACCGGCCAGATCCCGTAGCGCGTCGTCGTCATCGCCGTCGTCGCGTGACGCTGATGCTGATGCCATCCGAGCTGACGCGTCGTGTCGTGATGCTGATGCTTCGGCTGCTCCCATCCTCGCCGTCGAAACCGCTTCGAAACAGACCGGCGCGAAGAGTAGAAGCAGCAGCGGCAGTTGTAGTAAGATTAGGGCGCTCCGACGAATATCGTTCCCGATTCCATTATCTTGCGAGAACGACGAGTGTTCGAGTCGAGAGCACCCCCCGCGGGTGGCGCAGCAGCAGCGGCAGATTGCAGCAACAGCAGCACCAGGAGGAACAGAAGCAGGAGGAGTAGGAGGGCATCCCTCATGCATATTCCCTAGACTACTGCTGCCGGAATTCGTGCCAAACGCAGTTGCGTCGCTGGGGCGTTCTAGCCAGGGCCTTACGGTCTTTCTTCTAAAATCTAACGGCACCTTGACAGGATTGCCGGCTAGAGACTCTGATTTCACTACTACTACTCGTAACACGCTTTCCAGATTCGGATGATGTCGATTAGTATGGACGATGACGCTTAAAATTACCACCGCCTGGACTATCAGTGCAGAGTTATGGCATCGGCGGTTATTTCTATCTACTTCCACTAGTAGAGTCCGCGACCTCAGCGGCGGTTAATCTGAAGCCTGAGTGCCGCACTCGCTGGCCTAAGAACCGCGCTGATTCTGTGGTCCATAGCACTGGCTGTGATCCGTGTTTTAATGGCCAGTGAGATACATTGAGCCGCTGCCGCTGCCTCATTCTTTTCCCGCCGATTCAGGTGCTTTTCCCCAGCGGTACTACTACTAGAACAAGACTTGCTCGTTGAGCTGCGTTTCTCTCATGAAGTTTCCCCCCGAGCTTGATTCTCGCAGCTGTGGAGCTCTCTCAGTCAGGTGCTACTGAGATAGTACTTATTATCTCAACTTTGACAACATCTGAGAGAATTGCGTGAATCTGGATTCGCAAACGATGGCCGCGACGGCCCTGAAAGACGCAGTCGCTCGCGCGCTGCGCTGACGTCTTGATAATTATCTGACGGCTGCTGCTCCGGAGATTAAGTTCCGTAGATTAACTAACTGACTCAGCGGCCTCGTTCTGCTCTCCAACGCGAGTTTTGCGTGATTCACGCTAATAGTGCAACGTGATTCACACTCTGAGTGCAACGTGTTGTGGCAAAGAAGAGCCTCATAATATTACCAGTTATCCCTCTTATCGTAACAGCTACCAGCACAAGACAATAGTACCAATAGTCTCCGTTTTTCGCCAGCACCAACCATGCACGACGATCATCACCATGCGACAGGAGCATCAGCGTCGCCGCCGTCGCCCAAGTCGCCCGCCATGGACGGTTGCGCCGGCGGCGCAGCGTCCGCCGCTGCGGGGAGCCGCGGGTCTGCTGTAAGCTCGGGGTTCCGCAAGCCTTTTCAGCGATTCTACCGCGCCATGCTCGGCGGCAGCAGCAGCAGCGGCGGCGGCGGCGGCGGTGGCAGCGGCTCCTCTTCGTCTTCGTCTTCGTCGCACAAAAAGCTGTCGCCTCAGTCGTCATCGTCGCATGCGTCGTCGCAATCCTCGTCCTCCCACTCGTCACCTCACCAGCAAGCACGCCTGCAGCAGCCACAGGCACAGCAACAGCAGCAACAGCAGCAGCAACAGCAGCAGCAACAGCCACCAACGGATTCTTCAGCGGCCCTCACCAGAGCAGAATCTCCAGTGGGCCTGTTAGCAGAGCAAACACAGGAGCATCATCTGCATCAGCTGCAGCTGGTTCTTCAGCATATCTGGATCCTGTGTCAGTCCCTCTCCCGTCCATCTCTCCCACGCCAGTGCAGCACTCCTCTCCGGCTGTCCGGTCACCCCTCCCCACCGCTGGTTCCTCCGCATCTTTTCGAGATTCCCAAGGAACTTTTGGAATCAATTCCCAAGGGCACACGGACCACCAAGGCGGACCCACTAACTCCTCCCAAGGCCTAAGTGACTCTAGAAATCTTGGGAGTTTCCGGGATTCGAGAGGTCTCGAGTTCAACTCCGGCCTGGCCACATCTTTCCAGGAGGAGAGGGTGTCTGAAGTTTCGTCCTTCGCAAGCCGAACCAGAGGAGGTTCGGCGACGTCCCCGAGGATGTTGGTTCGGCGGAGCACGTTGCCGCTTACGTCAGCGCAGTCAAACCAAGTGGCTCGGGAGCAGCAACAGATGGTACTCTCTCAAGGCCTCGCTGCTGCTGTTTCTTCCGCATGTGGTAACCCTGTAACCGGCAGTGGTTCCACCGCCCTCCGGCCCTCACCACCCAGAAGCACTGCTGTAGATGCAGCTGCGGCTGTAGCAGCGGCAGCCGTGACTATACCGAGCGGCGCATCCCCCTCACCTCTCCCGGGAGCCACCTCCTCCTCCGTTATAAGCCATGGCGGCGGGCACAGGCACAGCCGGTCTAGAAGCGCGGCAGAGGGAGAACGGTTGAGCCAGGCTGCTGGGGGAAGTGGAGGGGAGGGGCGAGGAGAGGCAGGGATCAACGAGGAGGGAGATGATGACGAGGATGATGAGGAGGAGGAGAGGGAGAGGAGTGGGGTGTTTTTTTCGGGGCCGGGCGGCGACGATATCCACGCTGCTGCCGCCCAGTGTGACTATAGAGGAAGGCACGTTCCGCACTGCTGAGAGGTCTCCGATCAAGCGATACCAGCACAGTTTTTTTCAGCAGCCGCAGCAGCCGCAGCCGCAGCAGCCGCAGCAGTCGCAGCAGCAGCAGCAGCAGCAGCAGATGTCTATGGGGCAAACCATACCTGGCAGGAGGAGAGGCACGTCACAGAGCGTGGTGCTTGTGGGTGAGAGAGGGGGTCTGCTTGGCCGGCAGCAGCAGCAGCTACAGCCGCAGCTACAGCAGCAGCCAGGCGGCAGCAGCTTCGCCGGGCACCCCCATTCCACCAGTCAAACCGCGTCCGGACAAGTCAACGCCGGTCAACGGGGCGGCGGCATGGGCAGCGTTGGTGCAGCCGGCATGGGCGGCATGGGCGGCAGGCCGCAGGGGCGGCGGCGTTCGTTGGTGTCCCACTCCGGCGGCTTGACAGCTGGCCTGTCTCCTGGCCTGGCCGCTCGCTCCGGCCTCACTGGGAGCACCTTTGTCGGTGGTGGTGGCGCTGCTGGTGGTGGTGCCAGTGGCAGTGGCGTGGGGTATGTGAGCGGCAGCATCAATGCAGGCAGCAGCACCCTCGGCATCAGCAACAGCAGCAGCTTTATCCGTGGCAGGAGTCGCACCACCTCCACCGCTACAGTCACCACAGCTGTTGCGGGAGCAGGCGGAGGGAGGCTGGGCGGAGGCGGAGGCGGGGGGGGAGGGGGAGCAGCAGGCGGAGCAGGAGGAGGAGGGGGGGTTCTGTCGGCGCTGCCGCCTGCGTTGTCTCCGCGGTCGTTGGCCCAGCTGGACCGCAGCTTTGGCAGCGACGAGTCCATGTCGTCCAGTGGCGAGGTGGTCAATGTGCTGCACGATTCCTCGACCGCTGCAGGTGGCATGAAGGTGAGTGACATGGGTTCTATTGGCGCTGCCGCCTGCGCTGTCTCCACGTGCGTTGGCACAGCAGGACCGCAGCTTTGGCAGTGATGAGTCCATGTCTTGAAGTGGCGAGGTTGTCAATGTGCTGCATAACGCTTCAACCGCTGCTGGTGGCATGAAGGTGAGTGGGGGACATACTCTCAGCCCAGCTGGACCGCAGCTTTGGCAGTGATGAGTCCATGTCGTCCAGTGGTGAAGTCGTGAACGTGCTGCATGATGCTTCTGGTGCTAGTGCCGGCAGCATGAAGGTGAGATCGAGGAGTGCAGCCACACCTTCCACTTCCACTGCATCACCTCAACTTCTAATCCCCCCATCCCCCAATCCCGTGCTCCCCATATTCTGTCTCTCAGGATGTCTGTGCTGTGCCATATGTTTGGAGCGCCAGCGAGCAGGCTTTTGAGAATTCTCAGAAGGGGGGCATGGCCTGTTGGCAGCGGAGTGCGGGCACATTTTCCACTTCCACTGCATCACCTCACCCCCTAAACCCCCCTTCTCCTTCCCCACTCGCCCCCTCACTCAGGGTGTCTGTGCTATTTGCCTGGAGCGTCAACAAGCAGGGAGAGGCCATGCTCTCTTCACAGCGGAGTGCGGCCACACCTTCCACTTCCACTGCATCACCGCCAACGTGCGCCACGGCCACTCCGCCTGCCCCCTCTGTCGCAAGCGCTGGCACGAGGTGCCCTGGATGGGCCCTCCTGTAGCCGCGCCTCCCCCTGCTCCCGCTGTCCCTTCTGCCTCCCTTGCTTCTGCTGCTGCGGGTGCTGGTGGTGGTGGTGTTGCTGCTGCTGCTGGCGCTGGTTTGATCTCTGCTTTCTCCTCTTCTGGCTCTTCTTCTACCACCACTGTCACTCCTGGCATCACCATTCTCACCTCCCCGTCCTCCTCCTCTTTCTCCTCCCGCCACTCTCGCACCCGCTCCTCCTCTCCCTCTGACATGCTACTCACACACTCCCCACGCGGCTCACCCAGTAACCTCCCTTTTCCAGAGCACCGGATTTCTGCTGCCCCCCCTGCTGTTGCTGCCACCGCTGCAGCTGCTGCTGCTACCACTCCTGCAGCAGCAGCAGCAACAGCAGCAGCAGCAGCAGCAGCGGCAGTTGTGCCTGTCCAGATGTACCTTCCCCCTGTGGCGAATCCGTACACAGAGGACGGACCTGAGGCCTCAGACACCAGTGGCACGTATGATTCTGGGGAGATTCGGGCAGCAGCTGCTGCTGCCCAGTCCAAGGCCTGGGCGGCACTCAGGAGGGGCAGGGGCGGGGGAGGAGGAGGTGGGGGAGGTGGAGGAGGAGGAGGAGGAGGAGGAGGAGGGGGAGTATCACAGTCGCACCAGCCGGTTTCTGTGCCGACAAGTGCTGTTGCTGCTTCCTCACCTGCTCCTGCAGAGGTCACACCTGCCGCACCCACACCGGCAGCAGTAGCACCCACATCATCGGCAGCACCTGTGTTTGCTTCTTCAACCACAGCTTTACAGCTGCCAGGCACTGTGGGAGCAGCGCCTATTCGAGTCCAACCAGTGGCGCGAGCAGCAGGAGGAGCAGGAAAAGCGGGAGCATCAGCAGCAGCGCTGTTGCCATGGCTCCCTGCCACGTCAGCTGCTGCCACGTCATGCGAGGACCCTGACAGCACGACGTCGCTGCAGGAGTGGATGGGAGGCTGGCAGGGAGCGGCCGTAGCAGCAGCAGACGTCACAGCAGGCGCCGCAGCAGCAGACGTCACAGCAGGCGCCGCAGCAGCAGCAGACGTCACAGCAGGCGCCGCAGCAGCAGTAGGCGCAGCAGATGCTCCAAGAGCCACATACGGTGAGCTGATCCCGGGAAGCAGCACCAGCAGTCTGTCAAACCAACCACAGCATCCGCCACAGGTTCAGCAGCAGCAGAGTCTGCTGAGGCAGGTGTCTAGTGTGGCGCATGAGCTCACCCTGGGTCGTTCCAGGGCTGCCAGTGCCTTCCCCCGCTCTAAAAGCACCAGCGGTGCTGCTGCTGCTGGTGGTGATGTTGCTGGTGGTGCTGGTACTTCTATTGCTGGTTCCCTTGCAGCTGGTGCTAACGCTGCTAACATCAGCAGCAGAATCAGCAGCAGCAGTGGCGGTCTTAGAACCGCTTCCAGCCTTCCCACGCCTCCTTCTGCCAGTCACGCTGTGCCTTTACCATCGAGTGTGGCAGGAGAGGAGGGCGGGGAGGCGAGGGCAGGCAAGACCGGCCCAGCCTATGCTCCTCTGACACGTGGCAGCCTCCAGCCTCTGGCTGCAATCCATCCAGTTCGGCGGCAGATGTTGCTGCCAGGTCAGCAGGCACAGGGACCGACACAGGCACAGGGTCAAGGGCAAGGGCAAGGACAGGCGCAAGGGCAGGTAGGGGCGGATGATTCGCCTCGAGTGTACAACGACGATCAGAGCCTCAACACCCCCCCTGCTGCTGCCCCTGGCACCTCTGCTGCTGCTCCTCCCACTGCTGCTTCTCTTGCTGTTGCTGGCGATGCTGCTGCCCCAGATGGTGTCGTTTCTGCTGCTCTTGCTCCTGCTGCTGGTTTGGTAGCCAGTGCCCCACGCCCTCTCTCGCGACTCTCCGCTGTTGAGTCTGCTGCTGAATCTGCGGCTGAACCAAGTCCCAAGCTGCTCACCTCAACCTCTGCCTCTGCCTCTGCCTCTGCCTCTGCCTCTGCCTCTGCCTCTGGCTCTGTCCCTGCCTCTGCTGCTGCTCCTGCTGCTGCTACTGTTACTGCTGCAGCTGAGACTGACCGGCCTGAGAGCAGCAGTGCTACAGCCGTTCCAGGTGCAGCAGGTGGAAGCGAGCTTCATGGTCTTGCAACGGAGCCCACACCACCACCTGCTGCTACAGCCCTTTCAAGTGCTGCAGCTGTGGGAGAGGAACAAGCGGGAGGGAGAGCAGAGGCAACAGAGCAAGCGGAGGAGAGCGCTGAGAAAGGGGAGAATTTGCGAGCAGATACTGCGTCTGCTGCTCCTGCGTCTGCTGCTCCTGCGTCTGCTGCTCCTGCGTCTGCTGCTCCTGCGTCTGCTGCTCCTGCGTCTGCTGCTCCTGCTTCTGCTGCTCCTGCCACTGCTGCTCCTGCGTCTGCTGCTCCTGCGTCTGCTGCTCCTGCTTCTGCTGCTCCTGCGTCTGCTGCTCCTGCGTCTGCTGCTCCTGCTTCTGCTGCTCCTGCTTCTGCTGCTCCTGCTTCTGCTGCTCCTGCTTCTGCTGCTCCTGCTGCGCCTAATGCAACTGAAGGGGCCAGTGCTGCTGTGCAAGAAAAGACTGTGACTACTGCTGCTTCCACTGCACCAAGTGCTGCCACCAGCACTATTCCAGCTGCCGTTACTGGTGATGCCTCATCTACGGCAATAACCGACCCCCAACCTTCTGCTCCTCCCTCCTCCTCCTCCTCCTCCTCCTCCTCCGCCGAGCCCCAGCAGAAGACGCCTGCCTCAGAAAACGCCTCGTTCCCTGTCCAGCTGTCCGTGTGCGCGGAGCGCGTGCCTCCCCCTTTCATGGAAGTTTCTGAGTGCTATACCGTGCTGCTCACTCTTAAAGGCCCTCCTCTAGACCCTCCTACTTCCGACCCTGCCGCTCCTGCCTCTCCTCCAACCGATCCCCACCAGGGCTCACCCCTCCCTACCCCTGCAACCACCGATGGTACCACTACCATTACTACTACTACCACTCCTGCCGGCCACTCCTCTAGGGTGCCCATTGATTTAGTCACACTTTTGGACCTTAGCGGGAGCATGCACGGTCCAAAGCTGCAGCTGCTGCAGCAGGCCATGCTCTTTCTCATTTCCCAACTGGGCCCCCACGACCGACTCTCTATAATCACATTCTCGTCACAAGCACACCGCGTGACGCCGCTTAGACGGATGACGGAGGAGGGGCGGCAGGAGGCAGAGGGGAAGGTGCGGGGGATGGTGGCGAGGGGAGGGACGAATATTGCCCAAGGGATGTTAAAGGCGTTGAGAGTGGTGGAGGAGAGGAGGGCGAGGAACCCGGTTGCGAGTATCATGTTGCTGAGTGATGGGCAGGACACCGCCACGTGCAGCCAGAAGGGGTTTGGTTACAGGTGAGGAGAGTTTGGTTACAGGTGAGGAGAGTTTGGCTATGGATGAGACGTTTGGTTACAAGGTGAGAAATATCAGGACGAGGGCTCAGGCAGAAGCATTTTGTGTTGCTTGCTTATTCCCATGCATCTGTCGATTTTCTTTTCCATTCACTCCCCTTGTTTGTCACGATATCCTCCTGAATATCCTCCCCTGCAGCTCTCTCAACCACCCCAAGCAAACCTACAGCCGCCTTCTACCCAGCCAGATGACCCACAACAAGTCCTCTTCTCAAGATTCTTCCACCTCCTCCTCCTCCTCCTCCCGTCGCTTAGTCCCCGTGCACACCTTTGGCTTCGGCACCAACCACGATGCTGCCGCCCTCCCTTTCACCCTCCCTTCATATTTTTTCATCTGTTTTCCTTGTCCCATTCCTATTTATGTCACCTCCCCCCACACCCTTGAAGCTCTCTCAACCACCCCAAGCAAACCTACAGCCGCCTCCTCCCAAGCCAAATGACACGCTCCAAAAACTCTTCTCAAGATGCTTCAGCCTCTTCCTCCTCCCGGCGTCTAGTCCCCGTGCACACCTTTGGCTTTGGTGCCGACCACGACGCTGCCGCCCTGCACGCCATAGCCGCCGACACAGCTGGCGTCTTCTCATTCGTCGAGGAGCCGGCTGGCGTGACCGCCGCCTTTGCGCAGTGCCTGGGCGGCCTGCTGTCTGTCGTTATCCAAGAGGCCAAGATCTCGTTCGCTGTGGGATCGGATCTCCCCGGGTGGCAGATCGCGGCAGTACATGCGGGGGGGTATGCGTATAGGGTGGGGGAGAAGGAGAGGGATGGAGCGGTGCTGCTGGGGGATTTATACGCGGAGGAGGAGCGGCATGTGATGCTGGAAGTGTGGCGCAGACGACACGTCGAGGTACGTGATTGGTGGAGGGATGCGTGGTGATGAGGCTCCTTCTGAAACTGATACCTGTCTAGTATTACTCATTATCCTTCTTTCTTGAGCTAAACTCAAACATTGATGATCTTCTCCCTGCGTCACGGGACGAATCCCGAGATCTGGCACATCTTGCCTCACAGGACGAATCCCGAGCCAGGGACACGTCAGCAGCTAGAGCAGCGCAGCGTGACATGTGTCGCATTCTGAGGGCGCGCTGCAGCTACAGATGCCACCCGCTCTTCCAGGACACCCACCGCACACCGCTGGTAGAGCTGGCTGTTGCGCGGGAAGAGGAGGAGGAGGAGGAAGATTATGAGGAAGAACCTCGCTCACTTCTTGGCACTGGGCAGGACCTGGGAGTCCTTGTGCATTTGAGGTGCTCTTCTTGGCTCACACATTCACCTCGCTCTTCCACATCTCCTCCCGTTTATCCCGCAGGATGAATCCCGAGAAAGGTACACGACGGCAGGTGCCAGGGACATGTGTCGCATTCTGCGTGCGCGGTGCAGCTACAGATGCACCTTGCCTCACAGACAGACACCTCCCTCCCTCTCCCATGTCTTCCACAGGACGAGTCAGGAGCCAGGGACACGACGGCAGGTGCCAGGGACATGTGTCGCATTCTGCGTGCGCGGTGCAGCTACAGATGCACCTTGCCTCACAGACAGACACCTCCCTCCCTCTCCCATGTCTTCCACAGGACGAGTCAGGAGCCAGGGACACGACGGCAGGTGCCAGGGACATGTGTCGCATTCTGCGTGCGCGGTGCAGCTACAGATGCCGCCCGCTCTTCCAGGACACCCACCGCACTCCGCTGGTAGAGCTGGCTGTTGCGCGGGAAGAGGAGGAGGAGGAGGAGGAGGAGGAGGGAGAGGAGGGAATGGAAGGGTGGGAGGAGGAAGGGCGCATGTGGGAGGAGGGTGGTGATGAGGAGTGGTATGATCAGCAGCAGAGGGGTTATGCGCATGGGCAGGAGGAGGGCGAGTATGGGGCGCACAGCAATGGGCATGATAGTTTTGCGGCGGCGCTCGCAGCAGCAGGCGGGTGGGACAGCAGCGCCCAGGGAAGCAGCAGGCAGCCCAGTGGCGCTCAGGCAAGCGGCAGGCAATCAAGTGGCAGGCAGGCAAGTGGTGTATCACCACCCATCTCTGGAGCTATGGATTCTGGACGGCTGGGGGGAGATGGGAGGAGGAGGAAGGAGAGGAGGAGGAAGAAATCTCCTCCTCCTCCGCCGCTGGCGCTGGAGAGACAGAAGAACCGACTTGCTGCCACCAAATGCATCACTGCGGTATGTGCTCACTCACTCGCTCACTCTCTCACTCACTCGCTCACTCTCTCACTGACTCGCTCACTCTCTCACTGACTCGCTCACGCTCTTTTTCTTGCTCATACTCGCTTTCATTCCCTCATCCCCTTACTCACTCCCTCACTCACTTTTTCCCTTGCTCACTCACTCACTCATAACAACTTTCTTTCCTTCTGAAACCAAATTACTGCAATTCCCCTCTCACTGTCTCCTCGACATTCGACCTCCCCTCTCCCCCACCTCTGCTGTCACCTTCCCTGCGTCTCCCCTGTCACCACTATTTCTCCAGGCGTTGCAGCAGGCAGAGGCGGGCAGCCTGGCAGCAGCACAGCGCACCATACAGCAGGGCATTGCTGACATACAAGCATCTTATGCCATGCAGGTAGGTCGCTGTGTGTGTGTGTGCGTGCGTGTGCGTGCGTGCGTGCGTGCGTGCGTGTGTGTGTGTGTGTGTGTGTGTGTGTGCGTGCGTGCGTGCGTGCGTGTGCGTGCGTGCGTGTGCGTGTGCGTGTGTGTGTGTCTGTGTGTGTGTGTGTGTGTGTGTGTGTGTGTGTGTGTTGCTACTTTCTTTTAACAGCCCTCTTCCTTCCTTCCACCCACTCCCCTCCCCGCCACCCTCCCTTTCCCCCCTCCCTCATTTGAAATTCGCGGATTTATTTCTTAGCTCATTTTGCTACTTTCAATGTCTCTAAAATCCCTGTCTTACTCCCATGCCTCTCTTGCCTTTCCTGCTGTCTCGCCTCTCCTTGCCTTGTCTTATTTCCTCTTCTCACCTCTCGCCCGCCCTCTTTCCTCTTCCATGCAATCCTGTGCGCAGCAAGGGGATGAGGCATCGAGGCACTTGATAGACGAGCTGATGGAAATCGAGAGACGCATGTGCAACATGCAGGTGAGGGGGGGTGTGGCTTACATGTGTTATGGGTTACATACTTGTATTCTGTGCTGCAACGCTTCCTCTTGGTTTGTAACAACCTCTCGACATTTTTTTTTCCCCCTTTTATTTTTCCCCAGACGTACAAGGGAGCAGGCCTGGCCTATGCCCTCTCAGCGCAGTCAGCCCATCTGCTGCAGCGAGCCAACACGAGAGGGGGAGGGGCGGCAGAAGACAGCACTGCTGGCCTCGACTACATGGTAACGTAACACGCCCTGCAGACAGTTTTTCTTTATGTCTTCTATTAGTCGATTTCCTTTTTTTTCATTACATTATTAATCTTATCTCTTCTTTGCGTTTTCTTAGGCTTGATCCCCCACAAATACTTTCCCCTTTCTTTTTCGTACACTGTCCATTCGGCGCCCCTTTACCCCGTTGCCCCTTTCTTTCCCTCACCATCAGACGCCTTCAATGGTCAACATGCTGCACAAGTCACGGGCACACAGCACTGCCCTCACACTGTTTTTCTTCCCCCTTGTACCCCTTCCATTCTCTGTTTCTCTTCCCAGCCATCAGACCCCTTCAATGGTAAACATGCTGCACAAGTCACGGGCACACAGCACTGCCCTCACACTGTTTTTCTTCCCCCTTGTACCCCTTCCATTCTCTGTTTCTCTTCCCAACCATCAGACCCCTTCAATGGTAAACATGCTGCACAAGTCACGGGCACACAGCACTGCCCTCACACTGTTTTTCTTCCCCCTTGTACCCCTTCCATTCTCTGTTTCTCTTCCCAACCATCAGACCCCTTCAATGGTAAACATGCTGCACAAGTCACGGGCACACAGCACTGCCCTCACACTGTTTTTCTTCCCCCTTGTACCCCTTCCATTCTCTGTTTCTCTTCCCAACCATCAGACCCCTTCAATGGTAAACATGCTGCACAAGTCACGGGCACACAGCACTCCCCTCACACTGTTTTTCTTCCCCCTTGTACCCCTTCCATTCTCTGTTTCTCTTCCCAACCATCAGACCCCTTCAATGGTCAACATGTTGCACAAGTCACGGGCACACAGCACTGCCCTCACATCATCCCCCTCCTCGTCCTCCTCCTCCTCCTCCTCCTCCTCCTCCTCCTCCTCGTACCCCACCTCCCGCCACACCCCTTCCCCCCACCGCCCCACATTCCCCCCAACACACCCTTCACAACACCTTCTATCGCACCCTTCACCCCACCCATCATCACACCCATCACAACACCTGGAGGACACGAGCAACAGCAGCAGCGGGTCGCTGGTGCTGCCAGCGCCACACTCCGGGCCGTTCATGGATGGAAGAGAGTGCGAAACACCCACGTTTCGAGGCAGAGGTGTGCCAAAAAACGGTAGAGGAGGAGGGGCAACTCTTGTTGCTGCTGCTGCTGCCGCCTCCTCCGGATCACCCTCACAGCCGTTATTTGACAGGAGACAAGGGGCGAACGGGGCAAATGGGATGCTGGCTGCTGCAGCTGCAGCCCTCCCTCAACCACCCCTGGATGGTTTGAGTGGAGACAGCTACGGCAACAGCGGCCCCTCTCGGCACGGTGGTGAGGTCTCTTTTGGCAACTCCTGTGAGCAGCAGCAGCAGCAGGGTGAGACAGAGGATCTCTCGTTTGGATCAGCTTCCTTTCAATCCAGACCTCCACCAGAAGCAGCGTGCCAGACTCGCCAGCAGCAGCAGCAGCAGCAGCAGGAGGAGTAGGGCTGAGAAGGCAGAGGTCTGGCGTGCAACGGAACAGCAAGCCGGCTCCCTTGGTGGTGCGCAGTGGGATGGGTGTGGCTGCTGCTGTGGCCGCCGCTGCTGCAGGGGATGGCCGGCTGGACTCCTCTGCGTCGCTGTCTGCAGTCGCTCACGCACTCTCGTCCTCACCTCGTCCCGTGGAGGCATGACAAGTGAAAATTGCTTGGCTGGTGTCTACTCCTTATCCTTCCCTCGGCCTCGCCTCGTCCTCCTGGTGTCCTCGCCGCGTCCTGTGAAAGAATGCATGGTGCATGCGGTCGTCTTGATGTGGAGCAGTAAGGCGTGTGGTGGCTTAGGTTCGGCACTGCTGCATGGAGCATCAATAAGTGGCAGTTAGCATTTTAGGAATGTAATTTGTGTGTTGACCCTGTAATGTAATGCTTGGCATATATGAGTTATGTTGTGCTTGTTATGGTAGTAAGCCGTTGTCTGGACACTTTCTCGAAGTAAGTTTCACAATTAGTCACAAATAAGTTCCGGACACTTTCTTTGAGAAAGTGTCCTGAGCGGAGTGTACCCTAAATCCTTTGAGCAACAGCTAAACTGATGTAAAGAAAAGAAATGCATGATCATTGATTGTTGCTGGGACTCACGAATGTAGACAGCTGATGTTGGTTTCACTTTTAAAATGAAAAACTAGCATCGATAAGCAGGTCCAGAAATAATTTAGTTGAGGTGTGGTGGATACACTCCCTTCCCTACGCAGCACTGGGATTAGTGTACATGTTACAGCATGTTACGGTACAACAACTGGCGAGCATGTTTAGGTTGAAGTCTAGCCCACCTTTTGATATCATGACACCCACCCCAGTTGTGTTTCAAGTGAAGCCAACAACAACTAAGTGTCAAGAAGAGGTTAGCAAACGTGTTGTCATGTCATCCTCTTTCAGTGCTCCACAGAGTAATCAGGTGAGTCAGTCAGTCGGTTAGACCACTCCACATCACAGCATCATCCCCAGACAGTCAGTTTCTCCCCAGATTTTTTTGCACCATCCAACCAATCTCCCCATTGTTCTTATTGCCATTGGTGGTCCAATCTCCCCATTGTTCTTATTGCCATTGGTGGTCCAATCTCCCATTTCATGCCATCCAAATTAGTGCGCCGTTTACTTACTTAGTGCCATCCACGTTTACCGCCCCTCCCACCACGGCTCTTCTCCTATCGCCCGCACCAGCAGCTCTATGTGGAACGGTTTAGTGGCATACCCATCCATACCCGCTTCAAAGCACTGCTCCTTGTACCCAGCCATTGCATGCTCCCTCTCTCCCACCTTTCCCCTCCTTCTGCCCGTGTTGCTGACCCTTGTGCTACTGTGCCCACTGCCTACGTTAATCCCCTGCTCTACTTAGTGCCATCCACGTTCACAGCCCCTCCCAGCACGGCTTTAATCGCTGGCACCAGCATCTCAATCTTGAACGGCTTAGTAGCATACCCATCCATACCCGCTTCAGAGCACTGCTCCTTGTACCCAGCCATTGCATGCTCCCTCTCCCCTACCCTCCCTCCCCCCCCTCTCATCTTTCCCCTCCTGCTTGTGCTTCTGCCGTGCCCACTGCCCACGTTGGTCACCCGTCTACTTAGTGCCATCCACATTGACCGCCCCTCCCAGCACGGCTTTAATCGCTCGCACTAGCATCTCGATTTTGAAGGGCTTAGTGGCATACCCATCCATACCAGCTTCAAAGCACTGCTCCTTGTACCCAGCCATTGCATGCGCCGTCAACCCCACTATCCCAATCCTCGCTCCCTCTCCCCCTCCCCCCTCTTTCCCCTCCTTCTGCCCGTGCTGTCGTGCTGCCTTGCCACCCGACAGACGCCTCCTGGAAGCTTCCAGCTGGCGAATGCGGCGAGTGGCCTCCAGCCCATCCATGACCGGCATCTGCATTAGGGTTTGGGAAGACAGCGTTCGGTTGGAAAAAGAAGAGAGCGGGGAAGAGAGGGGGGGGGGTTGGGAAAGAGGGATGTTTTGAGAAGTCCAAGAATGCGGCGAGTGGCCTCCAGGCCATCCATGACCGGCATCTGGATTGGGGTTTGGTGGGAGAGGAATGAGGGGGTGGGCGGGAAAGAATCAGGGTTTGGACAGACAGGAACGAGAGAGGGAAAGACGGGGAGGGAATAGGGGGTAGGTGTGGAACTTAGGCGGCGAGTGGCCTCCAGGCCATCCATAACCAGCATCTGGATTAGGGTTTGGCAAGACAGAGTTTGGTTGGAAAAAGGAAGGGAGGGGAGGGGGAGGGGGAGGGGAGGGGGGAGGAGAAGGATGTTCTAAGAGGGTCAAGAATGCGGCGAGTGGCCTCCATCCCATCCATGACCGGCATCTGGATTAGAGTTTGGTCGGACAGGAATGAGCGGGGAAAAAGGGGGAGGGAGGGGAGGGGGGGGTGGGGGGGTGGCGAGTGGCTTCCAGCCAATCCATGACCGGCGTCTGGATTAGAGTTTGGTTGGGCAGCAATGAGGAAGGTTCGAGGGCAACTCACCTGAATGTCCATGAGAATGAGGTCGAACGAACCCGCCCGTTCCTCCACAGCGGTCAGTGCGAGCTGCCCGTTGCCCACCACCTCGACGCGGGCGCCCTGCATGGAGAGGGCGTGTGTGGCCACGCGCTGGTTCACCAGGTGTCCTCTGGTAACCCTCTCTTACATTCTTACCTCAACAGTCGCTGCCACGTGAAGCCATGTTTCCAGTCTGCCTGCGGCTCTACATGACAGCTTACAACCGTAACAATGCTGCCAGTACAGAGCACCTGAATGTCCATGAGAATGACGTCGAACGATGCCGCCCGTTCCTCCACGGCAGTGAGAGCGAGCTGCCCGTTGCCCACCACCTCGACGCGCGCGCCCTGCTTGGAGAGGGCGTGTGTGGCCACTCGCTGGTTCACCAGGTTGTCCTCTGCTAGGAGAATGCGCACCCCTGCCAGCATCGCCACTAGAGGCCCGCTCTTGTGCCGCGCTGCTACTGCTCCTGCTGCTGCAGCTCCTGCTGTTCCCACTGCCGCTGCTCCTGATGCAGGGCTGCTCACTGCCTGCTGTTGCTGCTGCTCATGCTGCCCCTCATGGTGGTGATGATGGCGGTGGTGGTGATGATGCTTCTTGTGCTGCCTCTCCCCTCCCTGCTGCTCTGAGCTGCTGTGTTTATCCTCGCCACCAGAGCCAGCAGCATTGCTATCCCCACTGCTCTGCCCAAGCCTAGTCGGTGACAGGCTCACGCTGCTGCGACTGCTCCTGCTGCCCTTACTGCCCCCTGCATTTCCGCTCACAGCAGCAGCGCTCATAGAGCTTTTCTGAGGCACCTCAAAGCTGCTTCTGCTGCTGCTACTGCCGCCCACATTTCCACTCTCAACCAAACTCAGCGCGCTCTTTTGAGGCGCCTCAAAGCTGCTTCTGCTGCTGCTGAAGCTGCCGCTGCTGCTGATTCCTCGCTCACCCTTACCGCCCCTGCTGATAGGCCTGCTCATAGCAGCGGCAGCCGGAGAGTCCAGATCAGACCCAGCAGGAGTGGTGGGGGACTTTTGAGCTCGGTTGAAAGCGGTGCTGCTGGCAGGCGTGGTAGGAGTGCCCCCCTCAACAGGCGTGTTGGCAGCAGTGGTGGTGGGGGTGGTGCCGTCAACAGGGGTGAGCGCAGTGGGGGTGGTAGAGGTGGAGGAGGTAGCAAAGGAGTGGAAGAAGGAAGCCGAGCCATCGGCAGTGGTTGGGGTCCAAGGGTCCGAGCCTGAGCCATAGGTTCGGGAGGAATCAACAGTACATGAAGATTCGAGCGTGTATGATGGTTCAAGGGCTCGAGAAGAGCCCATCCAGGGGTTACTGAAACTCGCTGTCCCACTGCCGCCGCTGCTGCTGCTGCTGCTGCTGCTGATTCTCCTGCTCCTCCTCCCACCCAATTTTCCTCCCTTGTCCTGTCGATACGCCTCTTCCAGTGGCCCTGATAAGGGGCCTGAAAAGGGCTCGGTTAGGGGTCCTGATGGGGGCCATGACCCATCTTCTGTTTCCATTCTGATAGATACAGCTGCAGCCGTAACAGCTGTAGCAGCTGTAGCAGCAGCAGTGGTGCTAGCAACAGCGGGGGCAGCAGCAGCATCAGAGATAGAAAGGGGAGGCTGGGTGGAACCCGAAGCACCAGAGACAAAGGGAGGGGAGGAGAGGCATTGCTGGGTGACGAGGGGCAGAGCAAGAGTCGAAGGGAGGGCTGGGCGAGACAGAGCGTGGGAGGGTGGGGGATGGGAGAGGAGGGCGGGAGGGAGAGAGGGGAAGGGATGGGGTGTGTGGTTAGGGTCCATTGGTGAGAGTAAGATGTTCCATGGATTGGAAAGTGCCTCTGATGCTTGCTGCTCCTCTTGCTGATTTTCCTGCCCCTGCTTCTCTTGCTGCTTCTCCTGCCCCTGCTTCACTTGCTGCTTTTCCTGCCCCTGCTTCTCTTGCTGCTTCCCCTGCTCCTGCTGCCCCTGTTCCTGCTGCTGCTTCAGTGCTCTCGCCACAGAATCAAGCCCTGTTCCTTCCATCTCCTCCTTCCTCTCCATACCCACTCCATGTCCACCCACTTCCCTTTCCCCGTCCCCTTCCCCTTCCTCCTTTCTTACCACAACCGCTCCCCCCCCCCTTCCCCTGCTTCTTCCCCCTCCTCCCTCTCCTCCAAAATCCCGTCCCCTTCCCTTTCCTTCTGCGACCCTTCCCCTTCCCTCTCCCCTTCTCTCACTCGGCTCAGCTTCCTGGAAAGTACCGCACCAGAAGCAGACCGGCTACCGAAGCTCATGCCGCCCAGCACCGGACCTGGAACCAACACCGAGGCAGACCTGCTCCCGTAGCTCAGCCCGGGCCTGCTTTCCGAACCTGTCTGCAAACCCGCGCCCGAACCAGACATATGGCTACCAGTTACCCGACTCATCTCCAGACCTCGCACAGGCTCGGGGCCTGCAGGTCCAGGTCCGGGCCGAATCGCAGGTTCGGGCCGAACCGGGCTCCTGTCACGAGTCTTTCTGGGGATACCGAGGAGTTGGGAGGGGTCAGAGCGTGTGCGCATGAGAGCAGATTGGGGGTGAGGGGGAAGGCCAGAAGAGAGGGCAGTAGGAGGAGCAGCAGCGGGAGCAGCAACAGCAGCAGAGGAGTAGGAGTGGGAGGGCGAGGTGCGTAGGCTTTTGCTGCTGAAGGAGAACTGAGGGTTGGAGGCAACAGAGGGAACGGTGGTGGAGGAGGGAGGGTGGGACGAGAGCAACTGGAACTGCGGCTGCTGTTGCTGCAGATGCTGCTTCGTTCCCCCGGGCAGTGCAGCAGCTGAATCTCTCCCCACAGCCGATGTGGCACTAGCTGTTGTGTTGGTGGCAACACTGACACCAGCACCGGCACCAGACCCTGTTCGGGCTAGCTTCCCACCTGAACCAGCACCTGAGAATCCACCTGAAGAAGCAGCACCACCGCCAGCAGCAGCAGCTGCAGCTGCAGCAGCCGCAGCCGCGGAGGTGAAGGATCGAGAGGTGTGGGAGGCAGGGTGGGGCAGCGAGGTGGCTGTGAGGAGAGGTCGCTGGCGCTTGTGTGGCGGGTTGAGGGCCGCAGAGGCAGAGGACTGGGGTGCCTGTGTGTGGGAAGGGGGTGGAGGGGAGGTGGGAGACAAGAGGGGGAACAAGAGGGGGAACAAGAGGGGGAACAAGAGGGGAAGGGAGGTGGCCATGAGGTAAGGGCGCTGGCGCTTGTGAGGCGGGTTGAGGGAAGCAGATGACATGACTTGGAGAGCCTGGGAGGGAAAAAGGGAGAGGGAGGGGGAGTCCACTAAGAAATCATGCGTGCATCTGCAAGTGCTAGGGTTACCATCGACGAGGTGCATAGTGCACGTGTTAAGTTCACCACAAAAATGCTAAATCACCACCACTTACAGGCTTTGCTGCTTGCTTCCCTTCCCCAACCTCCTTCCCGGGCCAAGAGCTAGCCACGGCGGACTCCAGAGCTGCCAGGTGCCTCGCCACCAAGCCTGGGTCGGAGCTTCGGTGCTCCAGGCGGCGGGAAGGGAGCGGCCGGAGCGTGTGCAGGTGGGCAGGTGGAGGCTGGTAGAACTGTGCTGACACTTGGCTTCGCAGCTCCAGCTGCTGCAGCAGCCGCTGCTGCTTCTCCTGCTGCTGTTGCGGGGTGGAGTGTGCGTCTGGTGCTAGGTACTGTTGCTGTTGCTGGTAGTGATGATGGCGCTGCTGCTGCTGCTGCTGCTGCCTGTGCCGATGGCGGTCCAGCGTTCGTTCAACCTGCCCCCCCTCGCACTTCACCACTTGCAATGTCGAAACGTCAACACTGCCCCCCGCTTGCACCCCCCCTTGCTCCTCGCTCCTCGCACCCTGAATCTCCCCATCGCCCCTCATACCATACACTTGCCCTTCTCTCCTTCCACAGTAAACCTGGGAAGCCTCAAACGCAAGCCTCCCCTGCTCCTCGCTTCGCACGCTGTGTAGACGGCCGGTTGTGGCTGATGTGTGAAGCTGTGATTGGCCGGAGGAGACGAGAGGGGGGTCCACGTGGCCTGGTGTGACTGGCCGCAGCTGAGACGCCAGGCTGGGAACATAGGTAGGGGCAGTGCTGGTGGTGGTGGTTGTGATGGCGCTGTTAGTGTTGTTGTTGTTGATGGTGGTGGTGGTGGTGGTGGTTATGGTGGTCGTAGAAATAGTGTTGGTGGTGGCGGCATTAGCAGCATTGTATATGCTGCCGTTGTTGGTGTAATTATTGGCAGTGGCGGTGGTGGTAGGGGCGGGGGTGGCAGTGGCAGCAGCGCTGCTGACGGAGGTGGTAGCACGAGCAGTGCTTCCTGTGGCAGTGAGTGGAGAGTGACCAAATCCAGTAGAGTGACCAGGGACAGTAGACCCAGAACCAGCCTTCCCTGCACTGCTGCTAGTGCTGCCACTCCCACTGCTCACCGCATCGCTTCCCACCATGCGGCCACCCGCATTGGCACCAGCAGCAGGGGCCGAGTTCGCCTCTGCACCACCACAGTCTGCACCACCACAGGCTGCTGCTGAGGCTGCAGAAGCAGCTGAAGCAGCAGCACAAGCAGCAGGTGCTACAGCAGCAGGTGCTACAGCAGCAGGTGCTACAGCTGGTGCTGCTGGTGCGACTGGCAGGGCGGCAGATATACTAGGTGCACTGGGAGAAAGCGGAGGGGCAGGGCCAGAGGCGAAGGTAGTGAGGAAGGAGGAGAACGATTCGTTGTTTGGGGGAGGCGAATACCCTCCAGTGAGCAGGTCTAAATTGGTTGCCACCACCTGGGAATAGAGCGACGGGTCTGAAAGCGTCCCACTTGTCATAGCACCACCAATACCACCAGCAGCAGGACCGGTTGCACTGTTGCCCACCCCTCGAATGCCACTGATAGGAGGACCGTTGGGAGTAGCAGCAGTGGGTGCAAGAGCAACAGCCGCCGTTGCTCCCTGTTCCGGACACCAGCTGCTGCTGGCCCTGTGGCGGGAACCAATCTGTCCTCCCCCTTGCTGCTGCTGCTGCTGCTGAATCAAGTGTTGCGGGGGGTGCGGCTGCGAGTTACCAGCAGCATTGAAGGGGACCCAGGTTGACGGAATGGCAGCAGCAGACGTGGGAGCAGAAGCAGAGGCAGAGGCAGGCAGGGGGAAGAGGGTGGGCATGCTGTGGGAAACGGGCGGAGGAGCCATGAACCCCCAGTCGTCCAACAGACTAATCCCTGTGATGCCTGCCATGCCAGGGATGGTGGATGCAGAGGGGGCATGGTGCGACTGTGGCCGCGGGGGCACTGCTGCTGCTGCTGCAGCTGCTGCCCCTGCTGATACCACTGCGCCTGCTCCTGCTGCTGAGTGTGCTGCAGCTGGTGAAGCTCCCGCTGACGCTGATGCCAGGGTGCGCGACACTGCTACTCCTGCTGCTGCTGCTGCTACTGCTGCTCCTGCGGCCACTGGTACCGCTCGAGGTACCGCAGAGGCGGAGTGGGAGCGGATGGGCGTGGGGGAGATGGGCATAGAATGATAATACCGCGACACACCACCACCACCACTACCACCAGCAGCACCAGCAGCAGCAGCGGCTGAGGGAGAGGGCAGGGCGGCAGTGGCGCGCATCTGGGAGCTGAACATGTTGAAGTCAAACGCATCATCTGAGGGGGACGATGCTCCAGACGAGCCATTATACGAATTTGAGGCGTTGAGTGCGTCACCTTTCACTCCCACTCCCACGCGCAGTCTTGCTGCTGCTCCGCCTGCTACCTGCCCCCCACCTGAAGCTACCCGTGCGGCCTGTGCTGCTGCTGCTCCTCCTCCTCCTCCTCCTCCTGGTGCCATTGCTACAGCAGCAGCATCAGAAGCACTAGCAGCATTAGCGGCACCATCAACCGCTGCAACGGCAGCAGAGGCGGCAGCAGCAGTGGCCATACCAGCAGCGCCAGACACGGTCACCTCTACCAACTCCCCTGCCACAGATTCCCCTCCCCTCGACCCCCTACTCCCTGAATCCCCGCCTCTCGAACCCGAATCCCCTCCCCTTGAACCCGCCCTCCCGGAATCCCCTCCCCCGGACCCTGAATCCCCTCCCATACTCTGCCCCAGCCAGCTTCCGCGCCCTCCTCCCCCTCCCCCCCCCCACTCCTAACCCCCAGGCGCCATTCGCGTTGCCCTAGCCCGCCCCTCCCTACTCCCCGGTCTTGACCACAGCGGGGAGGGTTCTAGATCCCTCCAGATGCCCGCAGAGCGGGGCGAAGGGGTGGAGAGCGGTGCATATTTCATGCTGAACGGTGCGGCAGTGGCGTTGTGGGCGGCGGAGGAGGGGGAGGGAGAAGCAAGGTTTGAGTACCTCCCACTGCGCGTGCCAGGACCAGAATAAGCCATAGGGCTTGGAAGAACCAGGGGAAGACCCATACCCAGCGCCCCTATCAGCTGGGATCTCGGACTAGAATAGTCCACACCCGCTGCTCCTCCTCCCCCTCCCCCTCCTCCGCCTGAACTCCCCATTCGCAGCTGGTCTGCCCTGCCCGAGCTGCTGCCTGCCCTGGATAAGCCTCCCCCAGGCCCGCCTCGGGAGGAGGGGCGTCTGCCGCTGCCCCCATGGCTGGAACTTGGGGTAGCAGGGATGTCCAGAGGTAGGTTGCTGCGGAGGCTAGCCATACCCGCGTGCATGTCTGATGGGTACCCGTGGTGGTGCCGTGGGGCGGATAGATCAGAGGAACCCTGTTTCTGAATCTGCTGCTGCTGCTGTGGGTGTGGGTGCTGCTGCTGGTATTGTTGATGCTGCTGGAACTGTTGCTCCAGCTGCTGCTGCTGCTGGCTGTGCTGGTGCTGCAGCTGGTGCTGCTGGTGCTGGTGATGCTCGGAAGGAATGGCGGCGGGAACGGAGCGTGTGGGGGAGGAGAGGTGGGAGGGCGAGGCGGGGACAGGGTCGGGGAGGAGGGAGGCGGTGAGGCCGCTGCCGAAGACAGGAGCAGAGCCGGGGGGGGCGCGGTTGAGGCGAGCCGTGAAGAAGAAAGAGGAGCCTCGACCAAGCTCGCTCTCCACCCAGATCTCGCCCCCCATCATGTGCACCAGACTGCAAGGGAGGGAGAAAAGGAAGGGGGAGTGGGGAGGGGGGAATGACACATAGAGGTGAGGGTATGGCAGAGCGTTAGTAAGCTGTGAGGCAGGGGCAGGGGCAGGGTTGGGGAGGAGGGAGGCGGAGAGGCCGCTGCCGAAGACAGGAGCAGAGCCGGGGTGGAGCGCAGTTGAGGCGACCGAGTTCGCTCTCCACCCGGATTTTGTCCCCCATCATGTGCACCAAGCTCACTCTCCACCCAGATCTCACCCCCATCATGTGCACCAAGCTCACTCTCCACCCAGATCTCACCCCCATCATGTGCACCAGACTGGGGGGCAGGGGAAGGGAGGGAATGTAACATAGGGGTGACGGGGGTTCAGAGCGAGGGAGAGCTGTGAAGAAGAAGAGGATGAAGCCCCGGCCACCCTAAACCCTCGCCCCTCACCTCTGCACGATGCTGAGTCCCAGCGCAATGTCGCCATACACGCGTATGCTGGACGTGTCAGCCTGCACAAAGTTGTGGAAAATCTCCCCCTGCGTCTCACCCCCCACCCCATGTCTGCCCATACGCTCCCACAACTCCCTTCCTTTCCTCTCACCTCTGCACGATACTGAGACCCAGCCCGATGCCGCCATACACGCGTGTGCTCGACGTGTCAGCCTGCACAAAGTTGTGGAAAATCTCCCCCTGCTTCTCCCGGCTGATCCCAATCCCCGTATCCCGCACTGCCACCATCAGCCACACCGACCTGCCTCCCTCACTCCCCTCCTCCCCCTCCTCATCCTCCTCCTCATCCTCCTCTCGCTCCTCTCCCTCCCTTTCCCTCCCTCCTCCTCCTCCTCCTCGCCTCTCGCCCCTCTCCCTCTCCTCCTCATCATCACTGGTATCAAGCCGCTGGGTGCTCACATTAGATGACTGGCCCCACAGCATGTTCTTTAGACTCATTCCCACACTAATACCCGTTCCCCACTTCCCCCTCCCTCCCTCATCTCCTCTCCCCGCTCCTCCTGTCCCTCCCCCTCCCGCTCCTCCACTCTCTCCCCCTTGACCCTGCCTAGGCTGCCGCTGGTGCTGCTGCGAGTAGAAATACCTTCCCCCACCTCTTGGCCGCCCTCCTCCCTGCCCCCGCCCCTCCTGCACCCGCACACTCCTACTCCTCCCAAACCCCTCCAACCGCTCTGCACCCAACCCTACCAGGTTGTCACTCTCAGTCCTGTCCAGCACCGTCCCTCCCGGTGCATAAACCAAGGGCTGCACACTGGGATAATTCCCAGCATACCCCTTCCCTTGGGGGGTATACCCGGTATATAGCAAAGATTGGGTTTGAGCTTGAGATGCTTCAGATGGTCTAAACCCTAAACCCGACCCTAAACCCTGGCCTCTAGCATGTGACCGTGTGCTGCTGTTTCGGCTTAGCTCCACTACAGAAGAGTAGTCACTCGCTTGGGACACATTGCTCCGTTGCGACACCAGAGGACCCGGAGCCGAGCCTGGGGCGAGAGCAGGCTCGGGCACGGAGCGAGGCTCGGAGCCAGGCACGGAAACAGGTGCGGACGCGGATGCTAAGGCTGGCATGGACTGGCGGGAGAGAGTGGGTTGTGGTGGGGGGAGAACTCGAGCCATGGGAGAGAGTAGAGGGGGGGTGGACGAGGCAAAGGGCGCAGTGCAAGCTTGCATAGTACCTAGAAACGACGGCATGCCTTGAGCTCCATCTGCTTCCCCTAGGTCTCTGAAATCTAACACCCTCTGTGGCTGTGGCGACCCCAACTCCTGATCACTATCCCTCTCCCTCTCCCTCTCCCTTTCCCTCTCCCTCTCTCTCTCCTCCCTCTCCTCTCTTGTCCGCGAGAAGAACCCGCTGCCGCCCCGTGACCCTGCTCCTCCCCTGCGGGTGCTCAGACCCCCCTCGCTCCACTTGCCGCTGCTCCTGCCGCTGCCCGCCAGGCCCACGTCTAAGAAGTCAACCCGCCTGCTGCGAGTCTCACTGGATCTCGTTCGAGACACAGGCACCTGCAAGTCCTCATCCCCCCCATCGTCTCTGTCCACGTCTCCGCACCGCGCTCCACCCCTCTCTACACCTCTCTCTCTACTCCTCTCTCTGCCTTTAGGAAAAGGCTCCCCATCTGAAAGACTCCCACACTCCACCATCCCCTCACTCCCTCTTCCTCTCCCCGCCGCCCCCCCTCCCTCTCCCCCTCTTCTTGACCCACGGCCCCAGCTCTTCTCCCGCCACCTCCCACTCCTCCAAACCCCTCCCAACTCCCCTGTTTCCTCCCCGCTATCCGCCCGTCCCTCTCCGGGTTCCGACCAATCACCAGCCTCGTAACCGAGGCACTGGTATACCCCTACCGCCCCTCCCAGTTCAGCCAACTCCTGGCTGCCACGTCGGCTTCTCTTGCCCGGACCAAATAGCGAGGCTCGGCGACTGCCGGACCTGCCGAGCGTGGACCGGTGGGAGGAGGTTGGGCGACTGGGAGGATCGGAATGCCAGCCAGAGCTTTGGTCTGGACAGGTGGACCTAAGGACGGTAGCATCTGCCTCTCCTGCTGCCCCTGCTGCTGCTGCTGCTGCTGCTGCTGCTGCAGCTGCTGCTGCTGCTGCTGCTGCTGCTGCTGCAGCTGCTGCTGTTGCTGCTGCTGCTGATGGTGATAGCTGTGACGACGATTGAACTGCTGTGCCATAAACATCACCTAGCGTAGTAGCAGCAGCAGCACTACCACCACCACGACGAGTATATGCATCACTCGATGCTGGCCTCACTCTCTCTTCTACTCCCTCCCATCCCCTCCTCTCCTCCTCCCTCTCTCCCCCCCTCTCCTCCTCCCTCTCTCCCCCTCTCTCCTCCCTCTTGCCCTCCCCTCTCCTCCGGGTGAAAGACCTCCCAAGAAATGCCAGGAAACTCCCAGGAACCTTATCAGAAGCAGACAGCAGAACCCCTTCTCTTGACTGGGGCCGGCGTGGCGCATCTGCTGAGGCAGCAGCAGCAGCAGCAGCAGCAGCCAGAGAACCCGCACCACCACCGGCAGCACGAGCGGGAGTGCTGGGGGTAGCAGGGCAAGTCATAGACCGGGGAACAGCCTTGCGGTGCCCCTGCCCCTGCGCCTGCCCCTGCCCCTGCCCCTGCCCCTGCCCCTGCCCCTGCCCCTGCCCCTGCCCCTGCCCCTGCCCCTGCCCCTGCCCCTGCCCCTGCCCCTGCCCCTGCCCCTGCCCCTGCCCCTGCCCCTGCCCCTTGCTCCTCGAGGTGGGAGATACAGGACTTGTGGCGGCGGTGGTGGCGCTGCTGCCGGTCCTTGCGCCGCTGCCCCTGCTTCTGACAGTGCTGCTGGTGCCGCCTGCTGCGGAAGAGCAGCGAGATCTCGAGGGTCACTGACCCTGCTTCTGTGAACTTGATTGCATTGCCCACTGGGGGACAGGCATGGGGAGGGGAAGGGATGGCATTATCAGGGGAAGGGAGAGGAGGATGGAGGGAAAATGGAGATGTTAGTGAGGACACGGGTGCTGCTGCGGAAGAGCAGGGAGATCTCGAGAGTCACTGACCCTGTCTCTATGAACTTGATCGCATTGCCCACTGGGGCAGGGATGGGCAGAGGAATAGTGAGGGGGAGGGGAAATGGAGATGTTAGTGAGGGTACGGGTGTTTCAGCAGAAAAGAAGGGAGATCTTGACTCGAGGGTCACGGATCCTGTTTCTGTGAACTTGATTAAAATGCCCACTGGGGGTCAAAGAAGGGGTGGGGGAGAGAGTGGGGGGTTTTAGAATATGGGGATGGTAGTGATGATACGGGTGCTGCTGCGGAAGAGGAGTGAGATTTTCGAGGGTCACCAACCCTGCCTCTGTGAACTTGATTGCATTGCCCACTGGCGCAGGGATGGACAGGGGAAGGGCAAAGAAAGAAATAAAAAATTTGTGAGACTCAGAAGAAACTCGAATTATGGACTGTCGCAAAGAAGGATTCAAAGGGAGCAGCATAGGAGAGCAGAGCAGAGCAGAGCAGAGCATTCATTGCGTTCTTTACCAAGATTGATGAGGCATTGCTGTAATCGGCCAGGGTCCCCCATGAGCTCCAGAGGCACCTTCTCCGCCACGTGCCATGAGAAGCCCAGCTGCTTCTGCTCTGCTCGCACCTGCAGAGAGGGGAGAGAGGCGTGGGGAGGAACGGGGGGAAGGAATGAGTGTGGCCATGTGAATGCCGGTGTCGCACGTCTGCTTTCATGAGCTCCAGAGGCACCTTCTCCGCCACATGCCATGAGAAGCCCAGCTGCTTCTGCTCCGCTCGCACCTGCAGGGGAGGAAGGGGGGAGGGAGACACGGGAGGACGGAACAGGAGGAATGGGAGGAATGGAAGGGATGTGAACGCTCTTATCAAGCATCTGCGCCCAGAGGCACTTTCTCTGCCACGTGCCATGAGAAGCCCAGCTGCTTCTGCCAGCTGCCCTGCCTCTATAATGGCAAGGTCCAGGACGGTGTTGGAGATGTTCAGCAGACAATCAGCTGATTGCGCCAGCACTGTCAGACGCTCGTGCACCTCCACCGTCAAAAGCACCACCAGCATCACTGTAGAGTGAACTCACCTGCAGCATTCTCATGGTAGACCCAACCACGTCCCTCAGTCTGAAAGGCACTTTATCCAACGCCAGTTGCCCTGCCTCTATTCTTGCGAGGTCCAGCACAGTGTTGGCGATGTTGAGCAGACAATCAGCCGACTGCGCCAGCACCGTCAGATGCTCGTGCACCTCCTGAGCCAGCAGTGCCAACTTAAAGGACAGCACTGCCAGCCAGAAGAATTGCGCCACCATACGGACCACTCACCTGCAGCATGCGCATGGTGGAACCAACGACATCCCTCAATCTGAATGGCACTTTATCGAGAGCCAGCTGCCCTGCCTCTATCCTCGCAAGATCCAACACTGTGTTGGCGATGTTCAGCAGACAATCCGCTGATTGCGCCACCACCGTCAGATGCTCGTGCACCTCCACCGTTAGATCGCTCCGCTCCGCCAGCGCTGCCACTGCGGCGGCGGCGGCAGCAGAGGCGGAGTGGGAGGAGGAGTGGGGTGGTGGTATGGGCGGCAGAGGGATGGCTCGGAGGGACTCGAGGGTATCCATGGCGAGAGCTGTCATGCCGATGATGCCGTGAATGGGCGTGCTGGGGGAGGGGGGAGGAGAGAGGAAGAGAGAAGTGAGGATGGAAGGGGAATGAGGAGGTGGGGTGTGGATATGGGCGAGCACCCATGGTGGTATACCTGGGCGTCCCCATGGTGAGGGCTGTCATGCCAATGATGCCATGGATGGGTAGGGCGTTACCGGAATTAACAATTCAACAGCTACTCAGCAGCAGTAGGGCAGGGCGTTACCGTATCTAATAATCTAACCGCTATTCAGCAGCAGTAGGGCAGGGCATTACCGTATCTCGTGGCTCATGTTGGCTAGAAACTCCGTCTTGGCCCTCCCTGCCTCCTCCAACTCCTCCTTGGACTTCTTCAGGTCCTGTAACCAGACAGTGCGGTGGGAGGGAGAGGGGGCGGAGCGGAGGTAGGGAGGAAGAGGGGAGGGGAGGCCAGAGAGATGGCGGAAGAGTGACGGAGAGGGACAACAGTAGCTGCGAAGAGCAAGGATGTTGGACCATGACAGAATCAGACGGGAAGTGGGTTGTGGTCTCCGAAAGCGATTCTTGAGAATTCTCAAAAACCGCTCACAGGGGCAGGCAGGAATAACTGTGGTGGAGAACAAGGATGTTAAGACCATGGCGGATTCAGATGGGAGGTGTGTCTGTGACTTTCAAGCTACTCACGTGTAACCCAGCCCACCTCGTTCCAGTCTCTACACAGGTCATCCAACAACATGCACACACGTGTAACGGTGTAACCCAGCCCACCTCATTGTACTGTCTGATCTGCTCCGTGCGTCGCTGCACCTCCCCCTCCAGCCTCGATTTTGGGTTGACTCAAAGACCTGCCACACCATCTCACCTCATTGTACTGCATGATCTGCTCTGTCCTCCGCTGCACCTCCCCCTCCAGCCTCGCATTCAACCTCCTTAGCTCCTTCCTCAGCCGATCCATGTCCCTCACAGCCGTCACCACCACCACTCCCACCACGCCCACCACCACCACAAACACCTGCAGCTGCAGAATCATCTCGTTCGCCCTCTCCCTCACCAGCGGCCCCCACCCTCACTGTATAGGCTACCCCAACCCACCCCACCCCACCCCACCCCTCCCATCCTCTCACCTCGTTGTACTGTCTGATCTGCTCCGTGCGTCGCTGCACCTCCCCCTCCAACCTCGCATTCAGCCTCCTTAGCTCCTTCCTCAGCCGATTCGTGTCCCTCACAGCCGCCGCCACCACCACTCCCACCACGCCCACCACCACCACAAACACCTGCAGCTGCAGAATCGTCTCGTTCGCCCTCTCCCTCACCAGCGGCCCCCACCCTCTGGCCGTGCAGCAGCAGGCGATCAGCACCACCAGCAGCAGCATGAGGCCCGACCCGTGGCGGTTAAACCTAACCGCCGCCCAGAGGACCCCCGGGAAGAGCATGTAGGGGAGGGAGACGATGAGAGGGCTGGTTCCTGGGGCGAAAATGAGGAGAGAGATGCCTGTGTTGAGGAGGATTAGAGCGAGGAATTCCCAGCTTCTGGGGGTGGATAGGAGACGGTAGAGGAAGCGTGCCCAGGTTTGTGTGGGGGAGAAGGAGTGGGAGGGCGGATGGGATGTGGAGGAATGTGGAGAATGAGGATTAGATTGGATCTGTGCAGCAGCTGCCGCTGCTGCTGCTGCTGCTACTGATGGTGATGATGGTGATGCTGCTGATGATGCTGCTGCTGGAAAAGGTTTCCACACAGCCACTTGCGTAAGCAACGGCAACGTGAGAATAATCCCCGAGAAGCTCGCCAGCGTGCGAAAGCAGCCCGTTATAGCAGCAGTTTCCGGCGTCTCAGCCCCGATGAGACTCAGAACGATCGACACGATCCCCTCGAAGATGAAGGAGACGAGGAGGGAGAAGAAGAAGAGGCGGAAGGTGTTGGAGACGCGGTCGAGAGGGGTGAGGTCGGTGGGCTGGGGGCGGAGGAAGCGCATGAGGAAGAAGGCGAGGAGGAGCACGAAGAGCGTGCGGTCGGTGGCGATGACGAGGGAGTAGAGGATCAGCTGCAGGCGCGGGAGAGTGACGTGCAGGGCGCCGTAGGTGAGCGAGAGGGCCGTTCCTGAGAGGAAAAGCGCCGGCCAGATGCGGTAACCCAGCGCCTGGTGGGGGAAGGAATGGGGGTAGGGATGGGGGTAGGGATGGGGGTAGGGATGGGGGTAGGGATATGGGGAGAGAGGGGAGGGCAGGCCAACAGGGAGTAATATACGTCCCAGAGTTATATAAAATGAGGGAGAGCACGGTGCCGGAGAGGAAAAGAGGTGGCCAGATGCGAAAGCGCAGTGCCTGTTGGGAGGAGGGATGGGGTTGGATATGGGCATAAGACAGGCCAACGGAGCATAAGATTTGGCTAAAACGTCTCAATTGTAGGTGAGGGAGAACGTCCTTTGTAAGGGATTATCGGAAACACCCTGTGGAACCAAGTGAAGGGAGAGGTCGTGACGACAGCAAACGCCAAAGGACACCCTGTGGCACTAAGTAGTAGAGGGAGAGAGAGAGAGAGAGCTTACGAGGACAGCGAAGAGGGCGAGGCCCGTGGGAGGCCAGACAGGCGCAGGCAGGAACAGCAAGTCGCCCACTTTGGCCGTGGCAGCCATGGCAGCAGCCACTCCGGTTAATCCCACGGCCACCAGCAGCACCAGCACCACCTGCTGCCACCACCACAACTCCCGCATGCTAACCACCAACGGCCATGTTCTCTTCTTCGCCCCGTTATAAGCCTCCGCGATTTCGTCCCCCTCGTCGTCGCCGGCGTGGCTGCTGAGACTCTCATCTTCGTCGCCCTCTTGCCCGTACTCGTTAAGGGTAGACTCGCCAGAAGACGAGAAGCTCTCCGCGTCCCGGTACGAGTCGCCGCTGCTCTCGCTCTCACCGTCTCTCGCGGCGGCATCGCCATCGACCAAGCCTCTGGCAGTCGCTATGGTTACCGGGTTACCATCCGGCATGTCCGCGAGGCCATGCGAAAGAGTCTCCTGTCTACCCATGTCCATTTCGACTACGTAAGGCCCTCCGGCGCTCGTTCCGCTTCTAGCGCTACTTCTGTATCCCCCGTCGTCCCTCTCTCCGCCTCCCTCTCTTCGTATGCTATCACCGCCTTCCCCTCTCCTGCTCGCTCCTGCGGACTGTCCCATTCTCCCGCTGCTGTCGCCACCAATACGGCGTTCGCGAAATCCGCTGTCGCGAAAACCGGCATCCTCTTCAATTTCGCCGTCGGGATCTCGGCTGTCGCCTTGCTCCAGGTCCCAGTCGTCGGCGCGAAACGAGTTCGGCTGCGACAGCTGGTCGAGTGCCGACGGCCACTCTGCGACGTCGCCCTGCGACCGATGATCGTCCGCCTGAACGTACTCATCGTGCGCCGCTGGACCCGCTGATGCGAGCCGCGGTGCGGCCTGGTCACTCTGATACTGGGATGTTAAGTGGCTTGCGTCCATCTTGCTATTCAAGGGGGCGTGATTCCTATCAATGGCATCCAGATTGTTGAATGCTATATCGAAACGAGGTCGTTGCAATCCAGGAGACTCTAATCGAAGCAATGTTAATGCGGATAACAGACAGGATCAAGGCTCGGGTAGAGCCTTCCACGTCCATTCCCGCTCTCTGCTTCCTAAAAACTCCACTACCCGCCTGTAACTCGCACCAGTAATTATAAGTGACCTTGAAGGGTTTGTGCCTAGAGCTTTGCGTTCCTGTTACACCCTCGTTCTCACACATCTCACCAGCGGGCGTCTGGCAGGCGTATTTTGTCTTATTAAAAATGTCTTAATGAACCATATTGCACCATCTTTAACCGCTCACCACCATGCTGTTTCTTCCTGCAAGTTCCCCTAACTGAGGTCAGTCTAGCGAGAACGAGGGTGTAGTTCCCTGCTCACGCCGCGGTGGGTCCCCATCCCATGAAGTATTCGCTAGGTAACTAGGGTGGGTCACGAAAGTTAAACTTTCCGCTCGGTAGAGGCGGTTGAGTACGATGTTGTGCATTCTGAAGCGGTTTACTCGCTTCACCACTTTGAACCGCAACTCACCATCCTCAACATTCACACATGAACTGTAAACGAGCTCTCGCTGTGACCTGTTGCCTACCTTCGCTTCCTCGCGTCAACGCTCAACTGCTCTCGTCCCTACGTACGGGTGGTCTGTTCAGCGTTGTGCTGAATGCTGGTGCGGCGTGGGAGGTGAAGCTGGTGGGTTCTTCTGTTGGTTTGCGCACATCCCTGTACTGCTCGCTGCCAGGAGGACCTGGGATACTGGGTTGCGCTTGGGGATACTCCCAATGGGTTCGCCTGCACGACCTGAAACCATCTCGCAGGTCTGGCGAACGAAGCTACAGCTGTCGTTAGCCAATAGATAGGAATCACGAACTGTTGAGGAGGACCTGAGCTTTTCGCCATGGAGTGTTGTCAGGTTGGGGTTCCCGAGGACCCTGAATTTGACGGCAGAAATTCCCTGTGGAATTTACGGGAATAACGGATTGGTTGGATGGAAGGCCCCGGATCTTGTCGCATACAGCGTCAGTAACGTGAAACGGAAAACCAGTATTGAGTTTGCTTGAATGGAATTGTACCATTACACCACCCATCCCTATCAAGTATTGGAACAAAAATGGTTGTACAACACGTGCTCCATAACATATCATGTCTTCAACTATTGAATTTCTTCATCCATGGAATCTCTGCAATTTTGCACAGGAACCGAATGAGCAAGGGGCCGGAGCAAAAAAGAGGAGTTTGACAAGATAGATGCACATGCGACGAGGATATTCAAGAGTTTTACAAACCAGGCACTCACCATGAATTTGCTGTATCGTTTCCCTCTCCTCTGGATCTTTCTCAAGCATCCTCCTCACCACTGCTTTCGCTCCCTCCGACACTCCTTCCCACCGCGGCCCCTCCATCCGAACCGGCCAATGCAATATCGCATCCACCAACGAGCGGTTCTTGGTGGCAAAGAACGGAAGAGCTCCAGAGAGCATCACATAGAGCACCACGCCTGCGCTCCACACGTCTGCTTCCGGCCCGTAGCTGCCTTGCAGCAGCTCCGGTGACATGTACATGGCCGTTCCCACTGGGTCCGTGCATGGTATACCTGCAACCAGAAATTCACAAGTCCAGAGAGCGGAAGGGAGAGGGGAATCGAGGGATAAGATGAGTCACAGCCCTACCAGTGCATGCATTGCGCTGGAGGGCCCGTAGCTGCCTTGCAGCAGCTCCGGTGACATGTACAAGGCCGTTCCCACTGGGTCCGTACAGGGAATGCCCGGGGCAGAAGCAGGGCAAGTTCAAGGGGGAAGGGAGACATGTCCAAAAGCCAATTCTTACCCGGAGAAAACCGAGTCGCGACTCCAAAATCCCCCAGCAACACAAGCACCTTCTCTCCGTCCCCACCTCTGCCTCCCCTCGCATATATAAGCACGTTCTCGGCATGGCAGTGCTGCAGCGCGTGCAGCAGCTGCGACAGAATGCACGCAGCCGTGGGCTCGGGGAGGCGCTCCAAGAGCCAGTTCTTACCCGGAGAAAACCGCGTTGCAACTCCAAAGTCCCCCAGCTTGACAAGCACCTTCTCGCCGTCCCCACCTCCTCCTCCCCTTGCATATATAAGCACGTTCTCGGGCTTCACGTCGCGGTGAATCACGCCCGAGTCATGGCAGTGCTGCAGCGCGTGCAGCAGCTGCGACAGAATGCACGCAGCGGTGGGCTCGGGGAGGCGTGTGCGCGTCTTGACGTGGTCAAAGAGATCTCCATGGCGGCACAGCTGCATCACCAGGTGCACCGCGTGGGGGTCCTCGAATGTATGGCTCAGCTCCACTATCCCCGGATGGCCTCTCACCCGCTCCAGAGCTTCTACCTCCCTTCGGATGTCCTCTGCTGCAGGGATTGTCTGATGGGGGAAAGGGGGAGGGGCGGGGGAGGGGCGGGAGGGAGAGGCAGGAAAGATAGACCGCTGAGACCAAGATGCAGGCAGTAGCAGCGGTGGGTTCGGGGAGGCGAGTGCGTGTCTTGACATGGTCAAAGAGGTCTCCATGGCGGCACAGCTGCATCACCAGGTGCACCGCTTGGGCATCGGCGGCGGCTCCGGTGGCAGCAGCAGCAGCAGCAGCAGTGGCAGCAGTGGCTCAGGATTCACCTGAATGCGTGTGTGTGCCGCACCTCAGATTCTGATGCGCTTCAAAAGCCACGGCAGATGGGTCATCAGAATTTACCTGAATGAGTGTGTGTGTGTGACTCACCTCAATGTTTCTCTTCTTGATCGTCTTGCATGCGAACGCAGCCCCACCAAGCGCCCCACGAGGCACACACTTGTAGATCACTCCGAACTGCCCTCGCCCAATCTCCCGCCTGCCCACCACGAAGCGGCTCTGAAGAGACACGTACGGCCGGCCTAGCACGCTCCCCTGCACGCCTCCCCCCTCTGCTAGTTTCAGTGGCGGTGGGCTAGCTGCCTGCCTCCGCTGCTGCTGCTGCTGCTGCTGCTGCTGCTGATTCTGCTGCTGGGACTGCTGCTGCTGCTGCTGCTGCTGCTGCTTTTGCTTTTGCTGCTCATTATCCTCCTGCTGTTGCGCCTGCTGCTTCTGCTGCTGCCTCAGCTGCCGCCCCTCAGGTTCCCCATGCCTCTCTCCACGCCCCTCCACACGCCCACTGAACCGTCCTGAACCGTTCCAGCGACCTGAACCACCACCCGCACCGCCAGCAGACGACGAGTCAAACTGGGCAGACGCTCGGCGGCGGCGACTGTACCCCGAATCACCTGAAGCCGAACCACCAGGAACCCAATCACTTGCCTCAAGCGGCATGCGTTCCGGAACGGGATCCCCTGACGGCACGGCATCCCCTGACGGCACAGCGGCGTCACACATGTCGCTAAAAGGCACGGAACTCTCAAAAGGCATGGCAACATCTTTACAGGACCCCGCAGCGCCACCATAGCCCAACTGTCTGCTGCTGCCAACGGCCCCTCCTCGTCTCCTCATGCTGGGGCTGTCTGGGACCGTAGATAGTCCCCTCATACTCCTGCGGGCCGATCTTCCACTCTCTCTGTCGTCTCTGCTGCTTGGACCCTGCTCACTCTTCCCTGCTGCCTCCCATTCTGCTCCCTCCGCTGCTCGCTCCGCTGCTCCCTCTGCTGCCCCCCCCGGTCTCCGCATGCTGGGACTGTCTGGGACCGTAGAGAGTCCCCTCATACTCCTGCGGGCCGATCTGCCTATCTCTCTCCCACTCTCCCTGCCTATCTCTCTGCCTATCTCTCTTCCACTCCCCCTACCGCTCTCTCTACCAATCGCTCTGTCGTCTGTCATCCCACCCGCGCCCGACTCATTCTTCCCTGCTGCCTCCCGTTCTGTCCCCTCTGCTGCTCCCTCTGAAGCTGAGGAGGAGGACGACGAGGAAGACGGGGATGATAGCTGCGATATCGACGGTTCCCCATACAAATCTCCATGGCAATACAAATCCCTGTGCCCAACCGCCTTACCAGCCTTCCCATCCCTCTTGCCCTCGCCTCCTGTCGTTTCCCCATACAAATCCCCGTCCTGAACCTCGTCACCAGTCGCCTTGCCACGCGCCGAGTTCTGAGCCGTCTCAAGACTAAAAACCGCACGCGCTACCACCTCACCAGCCTTGCCATCCCTCGTATCCTCTCCCCTAAGCTGTTCCCCGTAGAGGTCCCCCTGGCAATACAGATCTCCCTTTGCAACCGCCTGTTTTTGCGCCGGCGCCTCAAGACTTAAATCCCCATGCTCAACCCCCTCACAAACCTTCCCATGCCTCTTCACCCCTTCCAAACCATTTTTCCTTTCTTCTCCCTTCTCCTTCCGACTTTCTCCTTCATCCCCACATTTCGCCTTCTCCTCCTCCCCAATCCCAACCCCGCCCTCCTGGTCGTCTAAATACTCGTCAACGTAATCATCCGGCGCGTCTTTAAACGAGTTATCGAGGCAGCCTCTAAGGAGGTCGCGGAGCAGCGGGGGCGCGGCGAGGAGGAACGAGGGGCAGGAGGCGCGGCGGCGGGAGGCGGAGAGCCCAAGGGGAGGCGGAGGGGGGAGGGGGGGAGGGGGAGGGCAGAGAGCAGGAGGCGGAGGGAGAGGCGGAGGGGGAGGGGCCAATCGCCTTGAAGACCTTCCTCCCATTCTCAGGTCGCTAGCACCTCCCGTCCTCAGGTCCCCAGGTCCTCCTATTCTCATCTCCCCAACCCCCCCCGTTCTCTCTTCCCCAGTTCCTCCCCCCATTCTTAGCTCCAAGGCTGTAGCCGCGTCATTCCCAGGGGATCTTGGAGACGCCTCAAAGGCTCCCCAGCTGTAGCGGCAGTATTCCCAAGGGTCGGTGACAACTGAGTCCGGCTTTCAGGTGAGTCAACGCAAGTCAACGCCGCCTGGCTCTCGTCAGCCTCCCTGCATGGCCATACCTTTCCCGGTTCTACCTCCCCCGGTTCATCACTTTGCCCCGCTTCTGCCCCTCTCGCTTCCACCCTCCCAGGTTCTACCTTCCCCAGTTCAGCCTCCCCGCGCTCGGCCTCCCGCCTGGGTTGCCCCTGCCCTTCCTTCGCGCTGCGCCTGCCCACCCACGACATGCTCGCGCGGCCCCAGCTGCGCCACGTGGCAGCAGCTGACTGGGGAAGCGGGAGCGGCGGAAGCGGGTGCGTGGGGCTCTGCACCATAGCAGACGCGCTCCGCGTGTGCCGCCCGCCGCCGCGAGAAACCGCGTCCGCCGCTGCTGATCCCCCCCCTGCCCCTGCCCCTGCCCCTGCCCCTGCCCCTGCCCCTGCCCCTGCCCCTGCCCCTGCCCCTGCCCCTGCCCCTGCCCCTGCTCCTGCCGCTGCCGCCGCCGCTGCTGTCTGTTGTTGTTGCTGCTCTCGTGCTTGCTGCTGCTGCTGCTGGTAGTGCCACGGCCTACCTCCCATCCCACCGCCACCCGTCCCACTGGGTAAATCCTCGCCGCCGCTTCTACGCTCGCTGCTCACGCTGAAGCTCTTGCGTCTCATTCGTTCCTTCTGCCCGAGAATCACGGGTCCGCATTCCTCCAATCGCAGGTTGCCACGTGGCGAAGGGACGGGGAGGGGCTGTAACCGGGGCGACTTTGCCGGCGCTGTGGACGGCCGCGGAGAGAGGGGCGGCAGTAACGCATTCGCGACCAACGGGGGACTGCCACGTGGCGATGTGGACGTGAGACTGCCACGTGGCGATGTGGACGTGAGACTGCCACGTGGCGAGTTACCGGGTTGCGCGAATGGGAGACTGCCACGTGGCGATTTCAGAGCTTGTCCTAATTTGAGACTGCCACGTGGCGAGGGAACGGGCGGCGGGCGAGGCGACAGAGAAATCGGAAAGGGCGAGGGATTCGCATACATGGACGATGGCGTGAAGACGAAACCAGAAACTTCCTCCATAAGATTTTCAGTTGTTCGTTCACCTGCCCTTTCATCTGCCCGTTCGCCTGCCCTTTTATCTGCCTGGCTGTTGGGAGAGAAATCGCTGGTTGCGACAGCGCCACTGCAATGCGCAGTTCTCGCCGAGACGAGTGGTTGGGGAAGCTCGCGCACGTGCATAGGGGAAGGGGAGAGGCAGGCGGAGGGGGAGGGGGAAGGGGAGGCGGATGGGGAGTTGCGCGTTCCCACGGAGGGGGAAGGAGAGGGGGAGCGGGAGGGGAAAGGGTTCCGGGGCGGCAGCTCGACCCTCAGCGGCGGAAGGTGCCGGCGCGGAGGGGAGGGGGAAGGGGAGGCGGAGGGGGAGTTGCGCGTCCACGCGGTCTGGTTCAGCGACTGCGCCTTGCGCAACGCGCGCGGGGCTCGTGGCGCGGCAGCACCAGTGTCAGTCGCAGAAGCAGTTGTACTAGCATGGGTGCCGCTGCCACCGGTGCTACAGTTGACGTGGGGATTCGAGGCGGCGCCGCTGGCGGTTCTCGTGGAGTGGAGCGACGGCGGAGCGGGGTCGAGGCGGGGCGGAGCGGGGCCCTGGCGCGGCGGGGAGGCGGAGGGGGAGAGACTGCGCCGCCACAGCGGAGCCCTCTGCGTCTCCGACTGCGCCTTGCGCAGCACGCGCCGGTCGCGAGGTGCTGCCTGCCGCGCTGCGGACGAATCGGCGGCGGCTTCCGGTTCTTCCGCGGCTGCTGCTAATAACGGCGTTGGAGGAGACCGCGTAGATTGCTGACCTGGTATTGAAACCGCTGCTGCTCTTTGCGATACCGCGGCTGTCGCCGTCGCAACTGTCGCTCTCGCTGCCTGGGTCGCAGACGTCGCCACGGTCGCAGCCGTCGCAGTCGCCTCGACCGTCGCCGCTGCTGCCGCCGCTGCCGCGGAGAATGATTGGCTGGCAGCCGCGGATCGCGACGACAGGTACGCGCGTCGCCGTAACTGGTGATGCGCCTCGAGCCGAGTCATCGCGTCGTTATTGCTTCTGCTCTTGTTGATACGGTTGGCGCCTTCGTTGCTTCTGCTACTAGCCGTTGCTTCTCCGGTCACCCCTCCGTTGCTTCTAATACTATCGTTACACTCACGCTGCTCCCGCTGCTGCTCCAGCCGCTGTCGCTGACCTTGACGCTGATCCTCCCAAGGCTGCGGTTTCAGCGCTTCGGCTCTACAAGTGCTAGCACCCGTCATGCGAATCGGTGCGACGTGGGCGATTTCGTGCATCGACTGCGACTTTGAGCGAGACCTCGGCGACTGTCGCTCATCCCGTGCGACGGCTGCCAGCGTTTTAGCAGTCAACGAAGCTTCAGCTTCACTACGAGCTCCCTGAGCTTGTCGGCGCAGCGCGTTTGCAGACGGATTCTCGCTTCTATCGCACTCTTTAAACGCCATAGCTAACGGCATGATCGGGGAGGAGGGGCTGCACCGATGCGCGTTAATCGCGTCCGCGTCGCGCCGCGAAACACTTCCGGAAAACAGGAGCGGCGGCAGACACGTCGGCGGCGCGGTTCGCCCTACGGCTCGGATCACTCGTTCCGCCACGTCATCGTCGTCATCCGACGAGGAGTCGTCGTTTGCCGGCTGTGCTAAGAGCACCACCTGCCGGCCGTCAAAATCAGCGTCAGATTGCTCCTGAATCACCCAATAAGCCGGTTGTTGAACCGGCAACTGTCGACCTGCTGCTGCTGAGGATGCTAACGATGACGTTGACGTTGACGATTTCGCGCCGCTGCTGAACGACGGGCCATGCCAACCACCGTCGGCGACAGCGAAATCCGGCAGCTCTTGTCTGTCCATTTCGGCGCACGAAAATACCGCGCCGATTTCGACGCTATCTGCTGCAAATCCCATTGTTGATCCGATGCGGTTGGAATGGCAGCCGTCCGATCTTCAACGTTATCCGGCTGCTGCACCTTCGAAAATCTTCAGCTGAGCGTGCGGCGCGTCGTGCGTGCGTCGGCGATGCGTCACTTCCGTTTCGAAACCTTGCTAGGCCTCCTGTAGTGAGCAGTACCACGGACGCTATGGTTCCACTCCGAATATGTCGAGGTTAAGCAGTCATTTTTTCTAAGCTAGGAAAAACCGCTTCTTTCGAAGGGACGGAGGACCACAGGGTTTCAGCGTCAACCACGCCCACGGTATGCGTGCGAAAGTTATCGCGTGACCGTCACGCGCGGGACGACGCGGGGTCCTCGGTGATGCTTTAGGGTAGCAAACTCACGCTAACAAGGCTGCGATCAAACGAGCCCCGAAAAGCTGCTGTATTTTGTACATAGACTCATTAACAAATTTCGAGCTAATTGTCACCCTCTGCTTCGCCCTTGTCCTAATCTTGCGTAGGATTCTAGGATGGGACGATCGTTTCTGCCATGGCACAAACTCGTGCGGCATGTTATTGATCGTGATGATGCCATGGCCGTAACAAGAGGTAGCGAACAGCCTTGCATTATGCGAGCGATGGTACGTCGACATGGCGAGGGGAAGAACGAACGAACGAGGTTGCTTGCTTGGTGTTGTGAGCAGATTTTGAATGAACTACTGTACAGTATCCACGTCGGTCCTAATGCTGCAGGGAACATGAGTGAAGAAGACAGTGACGGCCATGGGGAAGGGAAGGAAGACGAGACCGAGGTTGGAAAGGAGGAGAACTACATAGACGTACCGCATCCTACCGCGGTCTAGCGCACTGTACTGTACTCTGCCCTACTGTACAAGGGAGGCCCAGTGGAAGATTTAAATGACATGAAAGCAGATGTTGTTGCTCTGTTGTCTGCTCGCTCCTTGATTCGATTGCTAACCGCAGAGAACAGCTGATGATGCCCGCCCGAAGGACAAGGCCAATCGCATTCCAAAAATTCAATGCCACCGTTCGCGTCGCGTTAGAAAACAGGTCCTACTGTACACGCGGGAGCGCGATGAAGATTGGTTTCTGTGATCACTGGCGTGGATTGCCAGAATTTCAAGTTTCCAGTGGGTTACCAGCACAGCTGAGCTGTCCTTTGGAATACAATACCCCATCTTCTCCGCACCGCGGCTACCAGCTTGACCTCACAACTCATTCCTTTCAGGGTTTGGGCTTTGGCTTCCAATTCGTTTAGTGCCGCTTAGCCCCGGAGGGAAACCCCTGACATGAAAGAGTACCCAAAAACGACAGAAGAGGCTTGTTCGGGTTGGGGGCACGCAGCAAGTGGCAGCGTTTGGCGGCGTTATGGGAAAAGGTCCCTTTTCGGGCGCGTATTACTTTGGCCTGCTCTGTCCCGCGTGGCGACATCCCAGAAATCCTAATTTTGCGAACAGTTGCGGCGTCACGGATGTTACGAGTTTGAGTTACAAGTTAAGAAGATAGCCATCTCTACCGTCCCTTTCACCTCTCTTCCGTAATATTCTTTGAAACGAGTCACTCATAAACGAATACACCGTACTCGGGAATCTAGGGTTACGCGAATGCACTGGCCGCTTGCGCAAAGCAAGCTTCTAGAATCTGGAAGCCTGGTTGAGAAGAGAACGTCGTCTCAGCTGGTCGTCGGAATTTAGAACCAAGGATCGTGTAAATATTTGAAGTCCCGTCAGAGACAAACTAGCCTATTCGAGCCCGTGTTCCGGTTGGACACCTTGTTTGTTTCGCAAGGATGGCGACTGCTGGCATTTCCTCGTCTTTCCCGCACTCTTCCTCCCCCATCCCCGGCGGCAGCGGAAGCGGAAGCGGAAGCGGCAGCGGCAGCGGCAGCGGCGATGAGAGTAGAGACGACAGAGAGAGCAGCGGCACCGTGCCGTCAACTTCTGGTGCTCCTAGTTCCGACGGTAACTTCGAGTGTAACATCTGCTTCGAAACGGCCAACGACCCCGTTATAACGCTCTGCGGCCACCTCTTCTGCTGGGCGTGCCTATATCGGTGGCTGCGCCGAAACCCTCACAATAAAGAGTGCCCCGTTTGCAAGGCAGCAGTCGACGAAGCCAAAGTCATTCCGCTATACGGCAGAGGCAAAGCTCCGTCAGATCCTCGCAAGAAACCCGTTCCTGACGAAGACGACGACATCCCCAGCCGGCCGGCCGGCCAGCGGACGGAATCCGTCAGGAACCCTAACGGAAACGGAGCTGGGGGTGGCGTAGGCGGCGGGTGGGGTTACAACCACCCAGGCATGGGAGTTTTCGCAGGAGCAGGCGGCCCGTTCGCAACGGCCCAATTTGGCGGGTTCACTGTTTCCGCAGGCTTCGGATTGTTTCCCGCGCTTTTTGGCCTTCAACTACACGCTTTTCCCGGGCAGGAGGGGGGGCCCGGGGCAGGTGGAATCGGGGGGAGTTTATCTGGGGGAGGGGTGAACCAGCCGGGGAATCCGCAGCAGCAGAATCTGAATCCGGTGGAGGTGCAGCAGCAGGCGTTTCTGTCGCGGCTGCTGCTCATGCTGGGGCTTTTTGTTCTCATGACGCTTTTTCTCGTGTAACTCTTAACCTTTGAGGCGCCTCAAACGCAGCAGCAGGCGTTTTTGTCGCGGCAGGAGTGGGTGGCAGGAGTGGGTGGCAGGAGTGGGTGGCAGGTGGGTGGCAGGTGGGTGGCATTAGTGGATGGCAGACATGGCTTATTAAGACCGGATACAAAAGCCTCTGGTCAAGGCTGGCTGGTCAAGGTTGGTCAAGGTTGGTCAACATGCTCTATCTACCGAAGAAGGCAAAGTTGCAGATGAATCAGCGGGGGCCAAGATAATGTCTTCTCTAGAGTGCCATACTAGGGCTTTTTGAAGGAGTACCGTAGTAGCTGCGGGCTTGTTGCTGTGGTGTGGAGTCGTGGAAAACGCTGAGGCGAGCTAATTCTGGGGAGGAGACATCTTTCTGGGCACCTGTAAGCAGGATTTTGCAGGCCGTCAAAAGGGATGAGATGAGGCTGAAAGATAAGGCGTGCTGAGCTGGGTTGGGAGGGAGGGACTGGGTTGGGTGGATGCATTGGGGGGTGGAGGGGGCGGAGGGGGAGTGAGCATCAATCTTTGTGCTGCCCTATCAATGGGGACTGAGAACCTAGGTGGTGCTAGGAGACTGGTTATGTAGCATGATTCTCTAAGCTCTGGGATCAGAGGGTGTATGTACAGTAAAACAAGTACCGTAGCAGCCTAATGACAAAACCTCTCATCTTGTGCAGTGAAAAGGTTCACATTATCTCTACTGTAATGCTTCTGTTGATCATATTGCTGTATGTACAGCTACAAAGACGAAAGACGGAAAAGGGAGGAAGCACACAGTGGTGCAAAAATAAATACACACAATTATGAGCTTAATAAATGTAGCACAACCTCGTAAAAACAGTGGTAAAGATACACCACACAACCTTGGTAGTCCCAGTAGAGCCTCAGCAGAACCCTATGAAGGATGAACACGCGCTTGGGCTCAACAGCATACCCCAGCATCGCCCCAGCAGCCACACAGCAAACCGTGCATCACATTATGATTGCATCACATGAATCACACACCTTGGGAACCCACACTGACAAGCCCTACGAAGGCGGGATGGACACGCGTTTTAGCTCCACGACATACTCTAGAATCGCCCCACCAGCCCTGGTGGCCTGTAAGATTGAGCAGAGCCCCGGCAGAGCCCTTGCAGAGCCCCGGCAGAGCCTCAACAGAGCCCTATGAAGGCGGGATGGAGATGCGTTTCAGCTCCACGACATATTCTAGAATCGCCTCAGCAGGCAGACAGCAAACACCGCTTCACACAATGACCCCTTGATCACACATGATAGCGCTGACGCCTTGGGAGCCTGCTCTCACGATCATTTCTGAGACGTCTCAAAAATGAGCTCTTACGATCCCTATGAAGGGGGGATGGACACACGTTTCAGCTCCACGACATACTCTAGAATCGCCCCACCAGCACCACCACCCCCTCCCCCTCCGCCTGCAAACGATTCACCGCCCAAATCCGTGGGCACCAAAACTTTTCGCCTACCGCCCGCCCGCATCGTCGCCATTGCTGACACGAGCCCCTCCGTGACCCCCCTGGGGAACGGCCGCACGCCAAACGAGAACACCAGGTCCCGCGCCCCAGGCGCTGTAGTGTCGATAAATGTAACCGGTTCAGACTCGGATTCGGCTTGTGCTGGTAATGAGACGCGGCCTGTAAGGGAGACAAGCACCAGGTCTCCCTTCTGGGGGAATGCACCGCCTCCGACTCTCAGGTCGGTGAATCTGACTCCGCTGGGGAGCTCCGTCTCCTCTGCGTCCTCCACATCCCTGGTGTTGGTTTTGGGAAGAGAGGGAATGTGGAGGTGTGGAGTTTGGACGAGGGGGAGTGAGATGTGTAAGGGATGGGGTTGCAGACGGATATGACTCCGTTGACAAGCTCGGTTTCCTCTGCGTCCTCCACATCCCTGGTGTTGGTTTTGGGAAAAGACAGAGCTTGGAAATGTGCGAGAGGGGGACGTGCGCCGAGTCTCCCGTCTAGTGCTAATGGCTCTACACTCCCTCGCCCCTTACGAAGTGACCTTTGAGTCAGGCTGACAAGCCGCCTCAAATGTGGAAATGGGTGAGAAAAGGAGACGAGCCCCGGGCGTCCCTTCTGGTGCTGGCGGCTCTACACTCTCTCGTTCTCGCGTCATTGCATCTGACCCTGGTGTGTAGCGCCGTCTCCTCAGCACCATCATTCCTCAAAACCATTTAAATCTGGTGGTAATGGGGCGGTGAAGAGGAGGGTGGAGAGGAGGTGAAAGGGGCGAGCGGAGGGGAGGGGAAGGGGAGGGGGAGGGGTGAAAAAGGGGGAGAGGTGGAAGAGGCAGTGCTGCCTCACTGCTTTGCTCCTCCGCTAGGGCACCCAGAGGCTGTATCCTCAATTTTTGGACTCAAACCGTCTGCCCTACCTCTCCGGTCAGCTCGTCTCACCAGCCCTCTTGCTCACCTCGTGCTGCTGCTGTCGCTTACCCCCTGCTCTCTTCCAGAAACACCGCGCGCCACTCTCATTTTCTCCCCCCTTCCCTCTCGCCTCCCTCTCGCCTCCCTCTCGCCTCCCTCTCGTCTCCCTCGCTCTCGGCAGTTCGTCTCAACACGTCCCTCATCCCTCACCCCGCATGTCGCTCACCGCATGTTGCTCTCTTCCAGAAACACCTCGCGCCGCGTCCTGATCTGCTCCGACACCACGCCGAACGCCAGGAACCCCACCCACGCCAGCCCCGCGCCTTACCTATTCCTCCTCGTCCCCCCAGTCTTCAAGCAGACTCTTGCCAGGGTTTCTGCGGCGTTTTTTAGCACCCCGCAGTACCACGGTGGATTCCTCTGCGTTTTACCTCGTGCCGCTCTTGCTCCCGCCAGCTCATCTCACCCCTCCATTTCGCTCACCGCGTGTTGCTTTCTTCCAGAAACACCTCGCGCCGCGTCTTAATCTGCTCCGACACCACGCCGAACGCCAGGAACCCCACCCACGCCAGCCCCGCGCCGATGCCGAACCTACGAGTCACTGCCGAAGCTATCCAGTCCGTCGAATCCGCCGCGCGTCGCGACCGGCCGGACGATGACGTGGCAGCTGATTGCCGTGGCGCTTCCTTGCCAGACTCGGTATCGCGACCCGCTGACGTCGTCGTGACGTCATTTGCATCAGCTGTGGTGGGAGACGCGGAAGTTGCCGACGAAGCTTCCGCGGAACGACCTCCGTCGCTGTTAGCGGAAGAAGCCGAGACGCGAAAGCGCCGATGTGCCTGTAACGGGCGGCAGCAAATTCTGGAACTGTCGAGTTGCGTGAGCGCCGACGAGTGAGGCTTTTCAGTAGCTCGTCGGTTCATGAAGCGTGAGGGATTGCCACATGCCGCCTTGGCAGTTGACGGAAGAGCTAGCACTAACGCCATGCTGTCAAAGCGGAAATGGTAAGGCCACGTGGCAGCGCGTGCTTATCGAGGCTGACTCTGGTGGTTCCCTTCTGTGAACTACAACAAGGTGCGCAATCCAGTGAGCGGAAATGCAACATCGAGGATGTGACTAAATTATCCACGGTATTGGTCAATACAAACTGTTATGAGTTGTGAAATAAGAGAGTGCGCAGAAACTCAATAATGCGGAAGTGATTACAACGTCTGCATGAACAACGAGGCCTAGGCACAATATAGCAAGGCTAGCTAGGCCGAGGTCGCGGGGTCGCGAGATGGTTGGGTGCAGGTTCGGGGTTGGAAAACCCGAAGGCGACGCGGTAGTGGCTCGGAAGGCGAGGTCGGCGGACCGAGCCTGGTTTTCCGAAAGTCGGGGTTGTACGCGTACAGAGTGACCCAGTAAGGAATCCGAAAAATTCCTTACATATTCCCCGCCCCTCCTTAAGAAAGGTGGTGAATATCCGAGACACCTCGGCGGGCCAGGTAAGCATCCACAACCGGATGTCCCAGTAGCGAGTCAGCGGTGACATACGTGTCGTCCTCGCTCGTGCGTTCTTTCCAGCGAAGCAGGAATTTCACCGAGCGGCCGGCGGCGGTCACGTCCACGCGATGGTTGAGGATCTTCCAAGATTCCAGCGTGGGTTCTGCTACTGGACGGGTGGTCGGCGCGATGGTTGGCCGAGCAACAGCTGGCGACTGCGGCTGTTCGTAATGACGCAGTAGGCTGACGTGGAAAGCGTCGTGAATTTTCCAGTCGTCGGGCAGCAGCAGCTTCGCGGTGACAGGTGTCACCATCTGGATGATCCGAAATGGTCCCACGTATCGGGGCCGGAGTTTCGCAGGCTGCGGCAGCCGGAGGTTCTTGGTGTCCAGAAGTACAACCTGCCCGGCGCGGAAGGGTAAATTCCGTCGGTGTTTATCCGCCTGGTGACTGGCCGTGGTATTAGCCTTACGAATGAAACCGGCTGCTTTCGTGCGGGCCGTCTGCACTCCGTGACAAACTGCTGAGAGCGTGGTACCGGGTTGTCCACAGTCGTTGAAGAGGGTACCACGGGGTCTATCCCGTAATTCAGGAAGAATGGTGATTGTCTAGTCGTGGCCGAAGGGGCGTTGTTGTACGCGAATTCCAGCATCGGCAGCGAATCCTCCCACTTGCGGATATCTGGGCAGTTGGTGCGAATCAGTTGCTCCATGGTCTGATTTGTCCGTTCCGTCTGTCCGTCGGTTTGCGGGTGGTATGACGACGAAAACTGCAGGCGGGTACCGTACTGTGCCCACGTCTCCTGCCAGAACTTCGACGTAAATTTCGGATCTCGATCGCTGATGATCGCCGAAGGTAACCCGTGTAGGCGTACGACGGTGGAGATGAACAGTTTAGCTGTATCTTCGGCTGTGATCGTCGTTCGGCATGGTGCGAAATGCGCCATTTTCGTCAGGCGATCGACGACGACCAGCACCGAGTCGTTGCCACTCGCGCCAGCTGGTAGCCCCGTGACGAAATCCATCGTCACCTGTTGCCACGGTCGTTCGGGTGGCTCGAGGGGTTGCAGCAGTCCAGCTGGCCTTTGTCGCGACGACTTCATTGCTTGGCAGGTCGGGCAGGTTGACACGTAGCGCTGCACATCGGTGAGCATGTCCGGCCAGTAATAATTCCGCTGCAGCAGCTTCAGTGTTTTGTCGGTGCCGAAATGCCCGGAAAGGTTGGAGTCGTGAACCTCCTGCGTCAGCAGCTCCCGTAAAGGCTGGTATGCTGGTACCCAAATCCGGTTCGTACCGGCTTTTAGGTAATACTTGCCGTGTGGTGTAGCAGCATGTTGTTGCGGGTTCCGAAAAAACCTGTCGATCTTGTAGCCGTGGGTGAATAGTCCCGTCAGCATCGGGTTGGTGTGGGCGATTAGCACCGCCGCGTTTTGCATGGATGGCCTGGTGAGGGCGTCGGCGATGTTGTTGGCGCCCTTTTTGTACGTGATGGTGTACCGAAAATTGGACTCGAGGAAGTCCAACCACCGGATTTGTCGCGGGTTGAGTGTCGGTTGCGTGCGCATGTACTGTAGTGATTTGTGGTCGGTCCGAATGGTCACGTCGGCTCCCGTGAGGTAGCAGCGCCAGACGCGGAATGCATGGACGATGGCCAGCATCTCCTTGTCGTGGACTGGGTAGTTGCGCTCGGGTGGCTGCATCTTGCGTGATTCGTAGGCGATGGGTTGCAGCCCTTGGCCGAAGTCCTGTAGCAGGACGGCGCCGACGGCGAAATCGCTGGCGTCCGTGACGACTTCGAACGGTCGAGATGGGTCGGCGAGGCGGAGTACCGGGGGTGACTTCAAAATGTTTTTGAGGGCGTCGAAGGCGGACTGCTCCCTCTCCCCCCACCGAAAATCACTGTCGTGGTGCAGCAGGTCGGTCAGCGGCTTGGTTATCCCTGCCATATTAGGTACAAAACGACGAACGTAGTTAACAAACCCCAAAAAACTTTGCAATTCAGGGATATTAGTAGGCAGCTTCCACTTAGCGATGGCGTCCACTTTGCGCGGATCAATTTTGATCCCTTCACCGGAAACTACGTGCCCCAAGAATTCTAACTCCGGCTTCAGGAACTCGCACTTAGACCCCTTTGTAATCAGCCGATGCCCTTGTAAACGTCGGAACACCTCCTCTAAATCCCGCAGATGATCCTCTTTTGTTGCGCTGTACACCATGATGTCGTCCAGATACACGATCACCTTCTTGTCCAGCATGTCCCGAAAAATCCCGTTCATGGTGAGCTGGAACGTCGAGGGCGCGTTTGTCAGACCGAACGGCATCACCGTAAACTCGTAACTGCCGTAGCATGTGCAAAAAGCGGTCTTCGGACAGTCGTCGGCGAACACGCGAATTTGGTGGTAGCCTCCTCGCAGGTCGATTTTCGAAAAATACCGAGCTCCGCGAAGTTGATCCAGCAGATCGTCGGTTCGCGGGATCGGGTAACGCGACTTTATCGTGACCCGATTCAGCGCCCGATAATCAATGCACATGCGTAGGCCCCCGTCCTTCTTCGGCGTGAACAGTATCGGCGCTGCATACGGCGACGTGCTTGGCCGGATGAAGCCCTTGGCGAGCAGATAATCCAGCTGGGCCCGCATCTCAGCGAGCTCTGGTTGGCTGAGCTGCCACTTAGTCCGAACAGTAGGTTGCGCTCCTGGCTTCAGCTGGATCCGATGATCTTCAGGTCGTTGGGGGGGAAAGCCATCCGGGAGGTCATCCGCAAAAATTTCGGGATACCTCCGAATGATGCTCGCCAATTCCTCGGGGACTGCCTATCAGAAATAACTGAGCAGGAATGGAATGAACTAGCACAGAGTTTGGTACAAGTAGGAAACCCTAACTTTGTGTACCCCCTAAGGTGTAACCCACTACAGCCTAGACAATATAAACATGCAATGTTTGACACACCCCCATAGGCGCAGTGGGAAACAACCACAGGGTCACAAGACCAGTCAAAGCAAAGCAAAGCAAGCTCAGGGTGGACCTCAAGGATTCCACACAAATTCCGAGCACAAGCAAGCGGTCACAAGACCAGTTCACATGCAGGTTTATAACAAAGTAAGAGATACAGTGATCACAACCTAGCAAAAGTAAGCAAGAAGGCATATATATATAGTGATCACAGTACAAGTAAGGTCAAGAGGTAAGCAAGTGAGGCCCAGTAGGTACAAGGCCTAGCAGAGTGCAAAAGCGCTGATGGTCACAAGGCTGAAGCGCCTTGGTGAACACATCAGCAGTGTTGGCCTCTGTGGCCACGTAACGCAGACAAAGCTGACCACGCTGCTGCAGCTCTCGAGCAAGGAAGTACCGCAGAGCGATGTGCTTCGTTCTGTGCTCCAGTCTGTGCTCCTCACACAAGGCAATGGCAGCCTTGTTGTCGACGTACAGCACTGGAGGAGAACCAGGCCGCTCTCCGAGGTCGGTCAGCAGGTAGGTCAGCCAGCGTAGCTCCTGAGCAGCCATGGCTGTGGCGTAGATCTCAGCCTCACAACTGGAGCTGAGAACAGAAGAAGAGCGAGTAGAACGCCAAGAAACTGAGCCAGAGCCAAGGCTGAAGGTGTAACCCTGGGACGACCGCTGAGTAGCCTGGTCGTCTGCCCAAGAAGCGTCTGAGTGCCCTGTGAGAACAACCCGGTCTCGCCCTCCAAGCACAAGCCCCATGCCCGACGTACTGCACAAGTAGCGCAACACCCTCTTAGCAGCATCCATGTGCTCCTTCCGGTGACGGCCAGGAGCGACATAGCGTGCTAGGATGCTAAGAGGGTATGCAAGGTCAGGTCGAGTGCAGGTCATCAGGTACATGAGGCAGCCCACAAGCTCTGGATACGGGCCACTCGGCTCTACGGACTCATCCGAAGGCAGAGCTGAGAGCGAGTGACCGGTAGGCAGAGGAGTGGACTGAGGCGAGGAGTACGTGAAGCGGAAGCGCTGGAGGACCTGCTGCACCATGTGTGACTGAGTCAGGGTGATGGTGCGCCGTGCTCTGTCCCGGGTGATCCGCAAGCCAAGATAGCTCGTCAGCTCACCCAGGTCTGTGCACGTGTGTCTCCTCTGCAGCTCCGACTTCACGTGAGCGAGTGCCGCGGTGTCAGCAGTGGCAAAGACCAAGTCGTCGACGTACACGAGGATGTAGAAAGGCGGCAGCGAGGTGTCGGTGCGTAGAAACAGCGACGGGTCAGCAGTAGAGGGAGCGAACCCAAGAGCCGCAAGTGTCGTCCTCAGTGTGTCGTGCCACTCACGTGGCGCCTGGCGGAGACCGTAGACCGGCCGCTGAAGCCTCCACTGGGTGCCAGGAGGAAATGACCCAGTGAAGCCAGGGGGGCGGCGCAGCCAGATCTCCTCGTGCAGGCTGCCCTGCAAGAAAGCAGTGCTGAAGTCAAGAGAGTGAAGCTCGTAGTCGCGGTGAGCGGCTATGTGCAGCAGCACCCGAAGAGTAGTCATCTTCGGGGTGGGGGAGAAGG